AACCCCAGAACAACAGCAACAGGACCTTGTGAAGATGCTGGAGGAAACAGGTACAAAAGTATCAATATCCACATTAAAACAAGTCCTATATCGACACAACCTGAAAAGCTGCTCAGCAAGGAAGAAGCCACTGCTCCAAAACCGCCATAAAAAAGCCAGACTACAGTTTGCAACTGCACATAGGGACAAAGATCGTACTTTTTGGAGAAATGTCCTCTGGTCTGATGAAACAAAAATAGAACTGTTTGGCCATAATGACAATTGTTATGTTTGGAGGAAAAAGGGGGTGCTTGAAAGCCGAAGAACACCATCCCAACCGTGAAGCACGGGGGTGGCAGCATCATGCTGTGGGGATGCTTTTCTGCAAAGGGGACAGGATGACTGCACCGTATTGAGGGGAGGATGCATGGGGCCATGTATCGTGAGATCTTGGCCAACAACCTCCTTCCCTCAGTAAGAGCATTGAAGATGGGTCGTGGCTGGGTCTTCCAGCATGACAACGACCCGAAACACACAGCCAGGGCAACTAAGGAGTGGCTCCGTAAGAAGCATCTCAAGGTCCTGGAGTGGCCTAGCCAGTCTCCAGACCTGAACCCAATAGAAAATCTTTGGAGGGAGCTGAAAGTCCGTATTGCCCAGCGACAGCCCCGAAACCTGAAGGATCTGGAGAAGGTCTGAATGGAGGAGTGGGCCAAAATCCCTGCTGCAGTGTGTGCAAACCTGGTCAAGACCTACAGGAAACGTATGATCTCTGTAATTGCAAACAAAGGTTTCTGTACCAAATATTAAGTTCTGCTTTTCTGATGTATCAAATACTTATGTCATGCAATAAAATGCTAATTAATTACTTACAAATCATACAATATGATTTTCTGGATTTTTGTTTTAGATTCCGTCTCTCACAGTTGAAGTGTACCTATGATAACTACAGACCTCTACATGCTTTGTAAGTAGGAAAACCTGCAAAATCGTCAGTGTATCAAATACTTGTTCTCCCCACTGTATATTGAAGCAACATCCCAAGACATCAGTCAGTAAGTTAAAGCTTGGTCGCAAATGGGTCTTCCAAATGGACAATGACCCCAAGCATATTTCCAAAGTTGTGGCAAAATGGCTTAAGGACAATAAAGTCAAGGAATTGGAGTGGCCATCACAAAGCCATGACCTCAATCCTATAGAAAATGTGTGGGCAGAACTGAAAGAGCGTGTGCGAGCAAGGAGGCCTACAAACCTGACTTAGTTACACCAGCTCTGTCAGGAGGAATGGGCCAAAATTTACCCAACTTATTGTGGAAGGCTACCCAAAACGTTTGACCCAAGTTAAACCATTTAAAGGCAATGCTACCAAATACTAATTGAGTGTATGTAAACTTTTGACCCACTGGGAATGTGATGAAACAAATAAAAGCTGAAATAAGTAATTCTCTCTACTATTATTCTGACATTTCACATTCTTAAAATAAAGTGGTGATCCTAACTTTCCTAAAACAGGGAATTTGTACTAGGATTAAATATCAGGAATTATGAAAAACTGAGTTTAAATGTATTTGGCTAAGGTGTATGTAAACTTCCGACTTCAACTGTGTGTATAAAGACAGTAAGTTGATAATGAGCCATCTAGCTTCCGGTGTTTGAGGTTTAGGGTGGAGCCGCATCATCAGTCTATCTGAGAGAAAAATAAATAAAAAACACTTCCTGTGTGTTCTGAGACTGTTGCCATGGCGCCAGGCCAGAGCAGGAAACCGGAAAGAAAAGACTGGCTGTCTCACTCAATGTTTGTTCTGCTGGTTGATTGATGATAGTTGTAACAATATCTCTGTGTGGGTAAGCAGATCAGATTGTCATACATGAGTTCCACCAAAGGAAGAGAAAGGAAGATGGTTCATGGTAAAAAACTGAAACCTTAAAGGAAGATTAAAGTTCATATTGTGTCTATCATATAGTACAACATGTGTGTGTATATGGGGTTAGTTCTGAAAAGCCTGCTTCTCTTGTAAACTTCTGACTTGGTTTCAGAGAGGGAGACTAATGTGATGTAAGAGGCATGGTAATGTTGTGGTCATGACATGTAGCTCTAACAGGCTGTTCCTGTTTGCAGTCGCTTTGACTGGAGCACAGGTGAAAGGCCTTGCTATAGCTAGCAGCACAGTGTTGCTCTGTTCAGATTCATTCAAACATGAGCCCATGCCCACTTAGATGGCCTGCTCTACGTAAGATCTAAAACGATGGGAGAGACACACCCCCAGTCCTCATTTTACATTTTAGTCATTTAGCAGACACTCTTATCCAGAGCGACTTACAGTTAGTAAGTGCATACATTTTCATACTGGCCCCCCGTGGGAAATGAACCCACAACCCTGGCGTTGCAAGCGCCATGCTCTACCAACTGAGCTACAGGGGACAGTCCTCCTGTCTGTCTCTGTCCCCCTCTGCTTGCTTGTGTCTGTCAGATGCATTGATACTGACACTCATATTAATGTTCAAACACAGGCCTATTCAGTGATCTATCCTAGATGTTATCAGGTGCTGTCAGATAAGAGGTGTTTTTGGATGACTGATTGTGTGTTGCAATATTGTTGATTAAGCGTCTTCCTATGGGTGCCTCCCAAATGGCACCCTATTCCCTACGCAGTGCCCTATGGGCCCTGGTCAAAAGTAGTACATTATAAAGGGAATAGGATGCCATTTGGGGACGAAGCCTGTGTCTTCACTTGACCCTGTAACTAGTCTACTGCTATCAGCACATCTCTCTTCAAAGAAGGTCCTCTCTAGTGTGGACTAGACCGTCAGGCTGATTTGAATGGATTTGCATTGCCTGATCTTTCTGTAGTTAGTTGATTTTATCATTGGGTGGTTGTGCAAGATGATAGATCTGCACTAAGTTCAACAGTTTCACACAAACTCTTAAGACGCAACACCAATAAAACACTCAATCTTCAAGCATGGGCTAAATGTGTTTTGCCACTGTAGATGTCCATCTCTTATTGACTTTCTTCACAATGATAGTCATAAAGACTCATTAAAACAACAAGACCGTAGAATCCCTCAATGAGAACTGTAAGACATAGCCACTAGAGATGTGTGGCGTGGAGTTAAGCATAGAGAAAATATTGCTGTTGTGAAGCTAGTTTTCTGCACTTCTACACTTTTTCCTTTGAGCTGAGAGAAAATGTTGCAGTTTTGAAGCTAATTTCCAGCAATTCTACACAGTTTGGCATGGCTAATGCTGTGTTCTTATGCTCAAACAAACAGTAACGAAATCAATGGCCCTGAAGGCAAGCTTTTAAATTGACTGTCTAGCTTTTATTTAATTGTTAGTTCTCAAAGATAGTATTGTTAAATAAATATATATATATACACACATTCAGTTGAAGTCGGAAGTTTACATACACCTTAGCCAAATACATTTAAACTCAGTTTTTCACGATTCCTGACATTTAATCCTAGGAAAAATTGTTTTAGGTCAGTTAGGATCACCACTTTATTTTAAGAATGTGAAATGTCAGAATAATAGTAGAGGGAATGATTTATTTCAGCTTTTATTTACTTCATCACATTCCCAGTGGGTCAGAAGTTTACATACACTCAATTAGTATTTGGTAGCATTGCCTTTAAATTGTTTAACTTGGGTCAAACGTTTCAGGTAGCCTTCCACAAGCTTCCCACAATAAGTTGGGTGAATTTTGGCCCATTCATCCTGACAGAGCTGGTGTAACTGAGTCAGGTTTGTAGGCCTCCTTGCTCGCACACGCTTTTTCAGTTCTGCACATACATTTTCTATAGGATTGAGGTCAGGGCTTTGTGATGGCCACTCCAATACCTTGACTTTGTTGTCCTTAAGCCATTTTGCCACAACTTTGGAAATATGCTTGGGGTCATTGTCCATTTGGAAGACCCATTTGCGACCAAGCTTTAACTTCCTGACTGATGTCTTGAGATGCTGCTTCAATATATCCACATAATTTTCCTTCCTCATGATGCCATCTATTTTGTGAAGTGCACCAGTCCCTCCTTCAGCAAAGCACCCCCACAGCATGATGCTGCCACCCCCGTGCTTCACGGTTGGGATGGTGTTCTTCGGCTTGCAAGCGTTCCCCTTTTTCCTCCAAACATAACAATAACAGTTCTATTTTTGTTTCATCAGACCAGAGGACATTTCTCCAAAAAGTACGATCTTTGTCCCCATGTGCAGTTGCAAACCGTAGTCTGGCTTTTTTATGGCGGTTTTGGAGCAGTGGCTTCTTCCTTGCTGAGCGGCTTTTAAGGTTATGTCGATATAGGACTCGTTTTACTGTGGATATTGATAATTTTGTACCTGTTTCCTCCAGCATCTTCACAAGGTCCTTTGCTGCTGTTCTGGGGTTGATTTGCACTTTTCGCACCAAAGTACGTTCATCTCTAGGAGACAGAACGCGTCCCTTTCCTGAGTGGTATGACGGCTGCGTGGTCCCATGGTGTTTATACCTGCGTACTATTGTTTGTACAGATGAACGTGGTACCTTCAGGCGTTTGGAAATTGCATGCTAACTGTTCCTGTAAACTTCCAGTCATTGCGCTAATGCTAGTTCGCATTGGCTCATGAAACTACCTCTAATTTCCTTCATACTGGATGCAGAGACATAAAAATGGTATCCACAATGGTATTCTGTTGCAGATAGCGATATCCATAAAATAACAATTTTTCACACAAAAGATCTAAACAAATATCCAAGTTTGAAGACCCCTTCCCCATCCTGTACAGAGCGATAGGTAGGGAGCAGGGAGATGTATCTCTAGTGAGTGTTAAAACATTCACCATTGAGATGCAGGACAAAGGAATGTTTGACACCCGCTCCAGCTTTTACAGGCCACACACACACACTAGTATTATAAAGACACTCTGCCACAATAAGTGAAGTTCAGTCATTTTGACACCGCCTCCAAAGCTTCCTGTTAGCAGTAGGCCTACTACCTGACCCAATAAGTACTCTGCTCTGTTCTGTGGTTTATGCTCAGCGCCTATGAGCAGAACAGCAGAGAGAGAGAATGAGAGAAAGAGAGAAGTAGGCGAGAGTGTGAAGGAGATGTGTTGCGATGTTACTGGCTACAGGATGGAAGTGAGAGAGGGTGAGCTTGTTGATGTAGGCCAATGTGTGCAAGTGCTTCTCCTATATTTCCATATGTGTGGCACAAAGACTGCAAACAAAATGTACGTTAAACAAAAGAAAACCTAGAAGCTAAGTGGGGGGGCCTGTGTAATGGTAGGGGAAAGACTGATCATCTTTATCTTCACTCCGTACGTCACAAACACAAAACAAGTACTCTGTCTTCCTCTCACCCTATTCTGATATCTCATCCTCCTATCTAAAGGCTGTTTTGAAAGTGTGGGATTCTCCTTAGAGCATTACACACACACACACACATTTCCTGACATGGCCAGATGGTAGTTATTTTCTCCTTCTCCTTTTCCATAAAGCCTGTAGAGGAATAGAGGGCTGTCTGGGTTTACTTTTAGTCAGCTTCAGAAAATACTACTACAGCCTTTTCAGGACCAGGACAAATACTATGGATTAATATTTTCCTGAAAATCTACCACGTTTCAATACCGGGATTCATTCATATTTATCCAGAGAGTCCTGGGAAGTACTGCAAAAATTGGAACTGCCCATTTAAGTGTTTTAAAACCAGGATATTTTCACTATGCCAGGGTTCTCCCTGAAATATGAGGGGCACTGTGTCACCTTGTTGGCTTGGCTGTGCCACTATGTATAGGTTTCAGAGCAAATTAAACTGATATTTCGTAATGATAGAGTAGCTATCTTTGATTGCCAATGACATTGTTGTGAATTGTGGAACAGCCCGTTCATAAATTCAGAGCGTTATCATGTTCCTCAATTAATTCAGCGCATTTCAGCAGTAGGGTATCTTGACACAGCGTGCACTCAGGACGCACAGAGCGCACTCAGAGTATAGTGTTGTCGAATCATACAAACTTTGTAACGGCAGTCAAACAAAAGTCAAATGACAAAATTTACTAAGCTTGCTAGATAACCTCCAACGAATGACAGAATATCTCCTATTTGGCAAAAACGAGTTAATGATTATACAGATTGCAGATCAGCTCGTGGATTAAGAGTAAATTGTTTAAATAGCAAGTTATCTTAATGGGGACCAACACTGTTTAAAAAATATACATACAGTATCTACTCTCATACCGTTTGTTGATCACACATACAGTGGGGAGAACAAGTATTTGATACACTGCCGATTTTGCAGGTTTTCCTACTTACAAAGCATGTAGAGGTCTGTAATTTTTATCATAGGTACACTTCAACTGTGAGAGACTGAATCTAAAACAAAAATCCAAAAAATCACATTGTATGATTTTTAAGTAATGAATTTGCATTTTATTGCATGACATAAGTATTTGATCACCTACCAACCAGTAAGAATTCCGGCTCTCACAGACCTGTTAGTTTCTTTAAGAAGCCCTCCTGTTCTCCACTCATTACCTGTATTAACTGCACCTGTTTGAACTCGTTATCTGTATAAAAGACACCTGTCCACACACTCAATCAAACAGACTCCAACCTCTCCACAATGGCCAAGACCAGAGAGCTGTGTAAGGACATCAGGGATAAAATTGTAGACCTGCACAAGGCTGGGATGGGCTACAGGACAATAGGCAAGCAGCTTGGTGAGAAGGCAACAACTGTTGGCGCAATTATTAGAAAATGGAAGAAGTTCAAGATGACGGTCAATCACCCTCGGTCTGGGTCTCCATGCAAGATCTCACCTCGTGGGGCATCAATGATCATGAGGAAGGTGAGGGATCAGCCCAGAACTACACGGCAGGACCTGGTCAATGACCTGAAGAGATCTGGGACCACAGTCTCAAAGAAAACCATTAGTAACACACTACGCCGTCATGGATTAAAATCCTGCAGCGCACGCAAGGTCCCCCTGCTCAAGCCAGCGCATGTCCAGGCCCGTCTGAAGTTTGCCAATGACCATCTGGATGATCCAGAGGAGGAATGGGAGAAGGTCATGTGGTCTGATGAGACAAAAATAGAGCTTTTTGGTCTAAACTCCACTCGCCGTGTTTGGCGGAAGAAGAAGGATGAGTACAACCCCAAGAACACCATCCCAACCGTGAAGCATGGAGGTGGAAACATCATTCTTTGGGAATGCTTTTCTGCAAAGGGGACAGGACGACTGCACCGTATTGAGGGGAGGATGGATGGGGCCATGTATCGCGAGATCTTGGCCAACAACCTCCTTCCCTCAGTAAGAGCATTGAAGATGGGTCGTGGCTGGGTCTTCCAGCATGACAACGACCCGAAACACACAGCCAGGGCAACTAAGGAGTGGCTCCGTAAGAAGCATCTCAAGGTCCTGGAGTGGCCTAGCCAGTCTCCAGACCTGAACCCAATAGAAAATCTTTGGAGGGAGCTGAAAGTCCGTATTGCCCAGCAACAGCCCCGAAACCTGAAGGATCTGGAGAAGGTCTGTATGGAGGAGTGGGCCAAAATCCCTGCTGCAGTGTGTGCAAACCTGGTCAAGACCTACAGGAAATGTACAGTGGGGAAAAAAGTATTTAGTCAGCCACCAATTGTGCAAGTTCTCCCACTTAAAAAGATGAGAGGCCTGTAATTTTCATCATAGGTACACGTCAACTATGACAGACAAAATGAGAAAATCACATTGTAGGATTTTTAATGAATTTATTTGCAAATTATGGTGGAAAATAAGTATTTGGTCAATAACAAAAGTTTCTCAATACTTTTATATACCCTTTGTTGGCAATGACACAGGTCAAACGTTTTCTGTAAGTCTTCACAAGGTTTTCACACACTGTTGCTGGTATTATGGCCCATTCCTCCATGCAGATCTCCTCTAGAGCAGTGATGTTTTGGGGCTGTCGCTGGGCAACACGGACTTTCAACTCCCTCCAAAGATTTTCTATGGGGTTGAGATCTGGAGACTGGCTAGGCCACTCCAGGACCTTGAAATGCTTCTTACGAAGCCACTCCTTCGTTGCCCGGGCGGTGTGTTTGGGATCATTGTCATGCTGAAAGACCCAGCCACGTTTCATCTTCAATGCCCTTGCTGATGGAAGGAGGTTTTCACTCAAAATCTCACGATACATGGCCCCATTCATTCTTTCCTTTACACGGATCAGTCGTCCTGGTCCCTTTGCAGAAAAACAGCCCCAAAGCATGATGTTTCCACCCCCATGCTTCACAGTAGGTATGGTGTTCTTTGGATGCAACTCAGCATTATTTGTCCTCCAAACACGACGACTTGAGTTTTTACCAAAAAGTTATATTTTGGTTTCATCTGACCATATGACATTCTCCCAATCCTCTTCTGGATCATCCAAATGCACTCTAGCAAACTTCAGACATGTACTGGCTTAAGCAGGGGGACACGTCTGGCATTGCAGGATTTGAGTCCCTGGCGGCGTAGTGTGTTACTGATGGTAGGCTTTGTTACTTTGGTCCCAGCTCTCTGCAGGTCATTCACTAGGTCCCCCCGTGTGGTTCTGGGATTTTTGCTCACCGTTCTTGTGATCATTTTGACCCCACGGGGTGAGATCTTGCGTGGAGCCCCAGATCGAGGGAGATTATCAGTGGTCTTGTATGTCTTCCATTTCCTAATAATTGCTCCCACAGTTGATTTCTTCAAACCAAGCTGCTTACCTATTGCAGATTCAGTCTTCCCAGCCTGGTGCAGGTCTACAATTTTGTTTCTGGTGTCCTTTGACAGCTCTTTGGTCTTGGCCATAGTGGAGTTTAGAGTGTGGCTGTTTGAGGTTGTGGACAGGTGTCTTTTATACTGATAACAAGTTCAAACAGGTGCCATTAATACAGGTAACGAGTGGAGGACAGAGGAGCCTCTTAAAGAAGAAGTTACAGGTCTGTGAGAGCCAGAATTCTTGCTTGTTTGTAGGTGACCAAATACTTATTTTCCACCATAATTTGCAAATAAATTCATTAAAAATCCTACAATGTGATTTTCTGGAGAAAAAAAATCTCAATTTGTCTGTCATAGTTGACGTGTACCTATGATCAAAATTACAGGCCTCTCTCATCTTTTTAAGTGGGAGAACTTGCACAATTGGTGGCTGACTAAATACTTTTTTCCCCCACTGTATGATCTCTGTAACTGCAAACAAAGGTTTCTGTACCAAATATTAAGTTCTGCTTTTCTGATGTATCAAATACTTATGTCATGCAATAAAATGCTAATTAATTACTTACAAATCATACAATGTGATTTTTGATTTTTTGTTTTAGATTCGTCTCTCACAGTTGAAGTGTACCTATGATAAAAATTACAGACCTCTACATGCTTTGTAAGTAGGAAAACCTGCAAAATCGGCAGTGTATCAAATACTTGTTCTCCCCACTGTATGCTCTCATACGGGCTGCAAGTATGAGATGACGTGCTTTGATAATGCAACCTATGGATTACAGAGTAAAGTTAGGAATTTTCATTCAAGACAGGAGTCAGGATTTTGGGTTTCAGTGGGATTAGGACTGGATAGGAAAATAGCCGAGGCTCTAGGACAGGAGAAGATATATAATTTTTCCTCATGCCTCTGGAATAGAGTGCAATTTGGGAGACAGAGAGACAGTCAAATACTGCTTCTGGTTGGTTGAATACATATGAGCTCAGTGCCCTGTAACTCTGCTATAAAGTGCCTTGAAGCTGAATACGATCTTTAATAGACAAGCAGTTGTTTTTGGATGATTTTAGCTGTTTTTGAGCATTGCCATTTAAGTCTGCACGTCTAGCGTTGCCAAAGCTCAAAGCAAATTGCTCAAATCATCCCCAAAACATCAACACATTTATAACTTCTTGCCTATCAAAGATTGAGAGTCTTTGCTGTATCTGCAGCTTTCTGAGGACACAACCCTCATAGTGTTTAAAGTGCAGGTCTTTGCTGTGACAGTGGCTGGCTGGAGATTAGGGGCTCAGGCCTCTTCGTCTCCTCAGGACAAAGCATCTCATTGTCAGCCTGCCTTGCCTCCCAGACCCCCTGAGGACCGCCTGAGGCTGGAGCTGGGCGTGGTGACAGACACTAGCAGGATGTATGGGGGCTGTAGAGTCCTCTAGTCCTTGTGCTGTGTAATTCTAAGACGACCCAGTGTTATTCTACCTTTCCTTGGGCAGGATTCTTCTGAGAGTCCCTGCAAGGACCTACACTCCACTAACACCAACAGTACCAACCTCAACCTGTCTGTCTGCCAAACATGGTCATACTGACATAGTGAAGAGAATGAGGAAAGAATGAGCGAGGGATGGAATGAGAGAGCGCGAGAGATGCACTATATATACAAAAGTATGTGGACACCCCTTCAAATTAGTTGATTCTGCTTTTTCAACCACACCTGTTGCTGACGGGTGTATAAAATCGAGCACACAGCAATGCAATCTCCATAGACAAACATTGGCAGTAGAATGGCCTTACTGAAGAGTTAGTGACTTTCAACGTGGCACCGTCATAGTGCCAACTGTAAAGTTGGAGGGATAATGGTCTGGGGCTGTTTTTCATGGTTCGGGCTAGGCCCCTTAGTTCAAGTGAAGGGAAATCTTAACGCTACAGCATTCAATTACATTCTAGACAATTCTGTGCTTCCAACTTTGTGGCAGCAGTTTGAGGAAGGCCCTTTCCTGTTTCAACATGACAATGCCCCCTTGCACATTTACATTTTTTACATTTTTAGTCGACGCTCTTATCCAGAGCGACTTACAGTTAGTGAGTGCATACATTTTTTTGTTGTTGTGGGAATCGAACCCACAACCCTGGCGTTGCAAACACCATGCTCTACCAACTGAGCTACATCCCTGCCGGCCATTCCCTCCCCTACCCAGGATGACGCTGGGCCAATTGTGCGCCGCCCCATGGGTCTCCCGGTCACGGCGAAAGCAATGTCACAAAAAAATATAATCGCGACGTGTAATGGAAACGGCAGCTGTAAGAGACATTTTCTAAAGAGCTACAAAAATGTTATCCGTTCGACAGGGGTGGATTTTTATTTTGTCCAACTTTTTTTATTGCGACAAATGATTGAAACTGTTTTTCAACAACAACAAAAAATCCAGAATAATTTTGAAGGTACGTGGGCCACGTGATGACAACACGTTACTATGAAGCTTCACTCCACATTTTAATTCATTTTCAACTATAAAAATGTTTAATGTTTCTTTGCAGGATCCTTATCCTGACTTTCAGAAATGGCTGAATTGTTTCGCCTTTTCTGGTTGGCAGGATGCAAGTTTCACCATCTAATTATTTCAGATCTACAGGCGTGCAATTATTAGAATATGGCAAATATTAGTCAATTCTTGCATTCTATTCATGTTGGCTTTCGCGGGCTACCTGAGACATGAATCCGGTGGGTGGGAGGGCATACAGGCTATCGCCAATGTATTAATGCTCAATTGGCCTAAATGGGTAATGTAAACACTTCATTTTTATTTGACACTAGGTTTTTGTGAAGAAGTAAAACGTTTGTGGTGTGACGTCATTACGTCCATTTATTTTTAGCGACACGAGGTGTGTTTGTAAATTCAATCTGGAGTGCGCTCGGGGCGTTCGTAAATTCAGAGCGTTGTCAGATAGTCCGGTTGTAAATTCCGAGCGTTTCGCTCATGGAGCGTTCAGAGAGCACACTGGCCGAGGAGTAGGGTTGATCTGAGCATTCTGACCTCACAACAGCAGTCAAGCAAATTGGCTAAAGTTGACTAGCTACTTTGCCACATATGAGAGAATCTCACTCTGATTATTTTACTCGCCCTAGCAGAGGTGGTTATCCATAACGTTGGTGACTAACTGTGCAGCTGGCAACAATTTAATTACGCTTTTTTTTGCCGACGTTTACCGACACGGCCATATTCAACAGGGGTTGAGCGTTCGTAAATTAATCAGTTATTCTGCGCTCTGGCACACTCAGACGAGAGTGCTCTGAAATCGGAGTAGATGGTCAGAGTGAATTTACGAACGCACCCAAGATAGTAAAATGGAAACGCGACAATAGCCTACTGCGGTGCATCTGTTTTCTATGTGAACTTTCTAAATGTCGACAAAAATATTATTAAAACAGCTACTGTTTCCCTTTTGAAATTCGATCTCGCCCCTGTAAAGAGAAATGTTGTGAACGAACTAAACAAACTTTTGTGATATAGGCGAAATCACGCAACAATATTATTGTCATGTATATATCCAATTACATTTCAATAGAAAAGCTATGAAAACAGAGGAACATTGAGCGTTTGCTGCCCTTCCAGCTGTATAGTTTGTAGCTTTAGTTGGCTAAGTGAGAAGAGTTACTCAGCCTGCATAGCAACCATTTTTGTTAAGCATAGCAACCAATGTTTTTGCAAGGATTAAAGTATTTTGATTTTTGTCCTCGGAAGGATTAAAGCTGCAATATGTAACTCATGTAATTCTCAATGAAAGCAAGTCTAAGAAGCGGTAGATCTGTTCTATGTGCACTATTTCTATGCTTCCCGTTCAATTTAGTTTTTGTGTCTTTGACTTTCAGTTTTGTACACCAGCTGGAAATACATTATTTTGGGTTATTTAATAAATATATCACAGCGGTTTAGATGGTACAATGATTTTCTACACTATACATTGCATGTTTTGTCACATAAACTGAAATTAGGCGAACTATTCACATTTTTGAAACCAGGAAATGGAGAGCAATTTCTGCATATTGCACCTTTTTTTTATTTTTTTTATTTTTTTTTTATAATATGAATTTACTTACTTAATCAAACTAACTTGCAGAAAGCATTACAGGCATCATGAGCAAATGTAAATTAAGTGAAAGTGCCGCTTTTGATTGGACAGTGAGCGTTGGAGGCGTCGTTCTTGATCCGTTTCACATTGAGGAGGCTCTAAGGATGCTCTTAGCCCAGGGCTAAGGTGCAGTGTAAACATGCCTGTTGTGTCTTTGCTCTCCTCCTGTGTGTCTTGGGCTGATTCTCTCTACAGTGGTGGTAGTAGTAACTGGATTAAAGAGCTCACATTGGCTTTGGGTGTCCATTTCAAACACCTTTCCAGAAACCATGCTGCTAAGAGATTTTAGTTGGCCCTCTGTGCTTTCTTCTGCGTTTGTGTGTACTGTGTGTACACACCAGCAAGCTGTGTGTGTCTCCCACATTCAAAATCTTGTTTGTTTGACCTAATTGCTGTTGACATGACAGTCTGGGATATGAGATTTTCCGGGCCTCCACCCATTCTATTGTGAGTTATAATAGTTTAATAATAATTGACCATTCAGTACTGAAGCTGTCATTCTGCCCATGTTGATTTTCCTCAACAGTCAATGATTATGAAGCCATGTGTGAATCAATAATGACCTTCCATTTTCATCCCAGGCAACCCTAACCCTGCAGCAAACCGTCTCTATTTCATATAAACTGAGTTTATTTTCTGCAAGTGTACAAGTATTCTACAGCAGGGAGACACCCAACATGGGTGGCCGTTCAGGATCAGGATGCAAAGGTTGCTCTTAAGTGTTGGCAACAGAGAATCATTAACAGGTGACTAACGATAACACAGCGATAATCTCTGGAACAACCCTCTTTATCAGTAAATGGGAGGGACACTTTTTTTTAAATTAGGGCTCATGATGTTCTCCACTATTGCTTAAATATCCTCTGGTCATAAAGTGTCTCCACCTTTCCAGTATATGTATCAGTTTTTTTTAGGTAAGACTGAAATGGGATTTATCATTAAGATATCGCTAATAACCAGGGTGTTTTTGTTCAAAACGTTTTGTCCTCGATAAATCTGACTACCTTTTCCTGTCTTCTCTTGCTATTCCCATTAATGTTTAGCCGTAGATATTTAGAGAATTCGGCGAACTTTGTTTAAGATTTAGAAATCTCATGGATGCCATATTGGCACCAAAAGGTCAAAGATCAGCTGTATTGTAGTCTGGTTCTAAATGAGACTGTTTGTCATAGAGAGGGTTTGGTTGGTGCCAACATGGAGGTTAGGTTTCCCAACCTCTCTCTGGCCATGGTATTGATGACCTCATTCCCCTTTCTGCTGTGACACAGTAGGAGCTCCTATGTAGCTGTTAGCCTGTCTCTAGTGGGATTAAATGCTTAACCCAGCATATGGCCACTCTGGATTAGCCCCTGTTATACTAAACATCAGTCAGTGTCCAGAGCTCAGCTAGACACTCCTGGAAGCCTTGTCACTCACGTGAGACACAGAGTTTAACTTGCATATGTACGCATACACCCACACAGCTCTCTCACACAACCTCAGTCACACACTGTTCTGTTTTTAAATCTATTTTAAAAAATGTAACATTGAATTTCTGGTCAATTTTAGAACAAATTCTTATTTACAATGACAGCCTGGAGTCAGTGAACTTCTCCTCCTAGAGACAATATTATTCTACTGTTCATACGTATAGTATGTAGAAGCAAGTATATAGCATGGAGCAACTATAGTATTCTTAGAGTAAAACTGCACTATGCTTTCTTGGTCAGTAACTACTAACAGCAGTTGATCCAATATGCTTAATGTCTATTTTCCTTGCTAGCCGTCTCTATGTTCCACATTTACACTAATAAAACACAGGGTGACGTTTTCATTTTCCCAGATGCCGGTCTGTGGTGTAAACCTGTTCTTTAATACATTGAGAACACAAACTTTGCTTCTTGGTCTTTGGACGGTTGCTGAACGCTACAACACACTCTCTCTGGATCTTTGTCACACTAATGGTATTATAACCTGATTTTAATATCCCCATTTCATGTCAACTGTTGCTTTATCATTTGGAGTTGTTGGGTGCTTATTTTTTTATCTTTGTGATGAGCAATCTGCTATTTGTAGAGGGATACATGTCTGAGTGACAAGATGATATTGATGGGTACTGACTTTATAACTTGAAATATGAAATATCCTTATTCATGTTACTGAGGGAGAGAGAGGGAATGCAGAAAGTTTACATTCTGTCAGAACATGTTATCGTTAGACATCAGGTATCCTATGGCGAGGAGAAGGGCCACAGTCTGGTTCCAGTCAACAGGACAGCCGTGAGTTGGGGAGGAGTGAGGAATTTGGGCCGAGGTCAGGTCAGATGAAGTGAGAAAGAACAGGCATCACTAAAGTCGTGTCTAACAACACAGATGTATTGGCTGTCCAGATGTGTAAGGAGTAGACTCGGCATAGGAGGAAGGTATAAATACCAATGCTTATGTAAATATGACTTTGTCTTTGCAGCTGTTTAACCATTGGGTGAATAAACTTGGTTTGAGCTTCGACTAGTTGTCCGTTTAGGTTCTGACAAACAGAGTGAAAAACTAACAGTATACATCTGAGTGAAGAGATGGTAAACATCTCTGAGTGACGAGATCTGCTCTCTCCATGTAACAGCGTAGACATGTGCTGAACTAGACATTCTCTCTCTATCTATCATCTATCTGTTTTCTCTGTCTGTCCGTAGGACTGGAAGGCAGAGCTGCGTCCTCGTCTGTGCTCCATGAAGAAGGGTGCGACGGGCTATGGCTTTAACCTGCACAGTGACAAGTCTAAACCAGGCCAGTACATCAGGGCTGTGGACCAGGACTCTCCTGCTGACAAGGCTGGCCTCAAACCCCAGGACAAGATATTACAGGTACCTCTTTACTGTACACTTTCCTTTACACACACACACACACACACACACACACACACACACACACACACACACACGTGTGGACTCCAACACAGACACAAACAGCGACATTAAGATTTTATAAACCCAACTACTGAGCAGCACTCCTCTTATCCCTGTCTCTAGACCAGATTAGGAATGCAGAGCAATATTCTTCTGGTACTGTCTGTGTCCACCCTCTCTTATGAACTTGTACATACAAACATGATGTCTTTGTCTTATCTGTTGTACAGACAGTAGGCATCGACGTGATCATCAGACAGTTTAGGTGTGTGTGTTTTGCCTGACTGGTGGGAACGTGGCATGTGCTGGGCTGGAGGAGGAATGTGTGTGTTGTAATCCCATTACACCAGTGGCAGAGTGGTCAAATCAAAATCTAATTTTATTGGTCACGTATTTTGCAGATGTTATCGCAGGGGCAGCGAAATGCTTATGTTTCTAGGTCCAACAGTGCAATAATACCACACAAAAACAAAATAAAAAAATTAAGAAATATCAGAATGAGCAATGTCAGAGTCCGGAATATAAATATATGTATAATGTTGTGTATGTACAGTATATACAGTGCCTTCGGAAAGTATTCAGACCCCCTTGACTTTTTCCACACTTTGTTAGGTTACAGCCTTATTCTAAAATGGATTTTTTTTAATAATCCCCCTCATCAATCTACACACCATAACCCATAATGACAAAGCAAAAATAGGTTTTTAGACATTTTTGCTAATTTCTAAAAAATAAAATAAAAACGGAAATATCACGTTTACATAAGTATTCAGACCTTTACTCAGTACTTTGCTGAAGCACCTTTGTCAGCGATTACAGCCTCGAGTCTTCTTGAGGATGACGCTACAAGCTTGGCACACCTGTATTTGGGGAGTTTCTCCCATTCTTCTCTGCAGATCCTCTCAAGCTCTGTCAGGTTGGATGGGGAGCGTCGCTGCACAGCTATTTTAAGGTCTCTCCAGAGATGTTAGATCGGGTTCAAGTCTGGGCTCTGGCTGGGCCACTCAAGGACATTCAGAGACTTGTCCCGAAGCCACTCCTGCGTTGTCTTTGCTGTGTGCTTAGGGTCATTGTCCTGTGGAAGGTGAACCTTCGCCCCAGTCTGAGGTCCTGAGCGCTTTGGTGCAGGTTTTCATCAAGGATCTCTCTGTACTTTGCTCCAATCATCTTTCCCTAGATCCTGACTAGTCTCCCCAGTCCCTGCCACTGAAAAACATACCCACTGCATGATGCTGCCACCACCATGCTTCACCATATGGATGTTGCCAGGTTTCCTCCAGACGTAACGCTTGGCATTCAGGCCAAAGAGTTCAATCTTGGTTTCATCTGAGCAGATAATCTTGTTTTTCATGGTCTGAGAGTCTTTAGGTGCCTTTTGGCAAACTCCAAGCAGGCTGTCATGTGCCTTTTACTGAGGAGTGGCTTCCGTCTGGTCACTCTACCATAAAGGCCTGATTGATGGAGTGCTGCAGAGATGGTTGGGTTCTGGAAGGTTCTCCCATCTCCACAGTGACCATCGGGTTCTTGGTTACCTCCCTGACCAAGGCCATTCTCCCCCGATTGCTCAGTTTGGCCAAGCGGCCAGCTCTATGAAGAGTCTTGGTGGTTCCAAACTTCTTCCATTTAAGAATGGTCTTGGGGACCTTCAATGCTGCAGACATTTTTTGGTACCCTTCCCAAATCAAATCAAATGTGTTGGTCACATACACATGGTTATCAGATGTTATTGTGAGTGTAGCGAAATGCTTGTGCTTCTAGTTCCGACAGTGCAGCAATATCAAGCAAGTAATACCTAACAGTTCCACAACATAAACACACAAATCTAAGTAAAGGAATGGAATAAGTATATATAAATATATGGATGAGCAATGTCATTATCAGAGTGGCATAGGCTAAGATGTAATAGATAGTATAGAATACAGTATATACATATGAAACGAGTAATGCAAGATATGCCAACATTATTAAAGTGGCATTATTAAAGTGACTAGTGTTCCATTTATTAAAGTGGCAAGTGATTTTCAAGTCTGTATGTAGGCAGCAGCCTCTCTGTGCTAGTAATGGCTGTTTAACAGTCAGATGGCCTTGAGATAGAAGCTGTTTTTCAGTCTCTCGGTGCCAGCTTTGATGCACCTGTACTGACCTCGCCTTCTGGAAGATAGCAGGGTGAACAGGCAGTGGCTCGGGTGGTTGATGTCCTTGATGATCTTTTTGGCCTTCCTGAGACATCGGGTGCTGTAGGTGTCCTGGAGGGCGGGTAGTTTGCCCCGGGTCATGCGTTGTGCAGACCGCACCACCCTCTGGAGAGCCCTGCGGTTGTGGGCGGTGCAGTTGCCGTACCAGGTGGTGATACAGCCCGACAGGATGCTTTCAATTGTGCATCTGTAAAGGTTTGTGTGGGTTTTAGGTGACAGGCCACATTTCTTCAGCCTCCTGTGGTTGTGCCTTGACACAAACCTGTCTCGGAGCTCCATGGACAATTCCTTCGACCTCATGACTTGGTTTCTGCTCTGACATGCACTGTCAACTGTGGGACCTTATCTAGACAGGTGTGTGCCTTTCCAAATCAGGTCCAATCAATTGAATTTACCACAGGTGGACTCCAATCAAGTTGGAGAAACATCTCAAGGATGATCAATGGAAACAGGATGCACCTGAGCTCAATTTCGAGTCTCATAGCAAAGTGTCTGAATACTTATGTGAATAAGGTATTTCTGTTTTTAATACATTTTCAAAATTGTCTAAACCTTTTTTCGCATTGTCATTATGGGGTATTGTGTGTAGATTGCTGAGGATTTGTATATAATACATTTTAGAATAAGGCTGTAACATAACAAAGTGGAAAAAGTAAAGGGGTCTGAATACTTTCCAAAGGCACTAAGTATAAAGGTGTATGTACAGCAGTAGTTGTCTAGGATGAGCTTTGACAAGAATACAGTATATATATACATATGAAGTGGGTGAAACGCTATGTAAACATAATTAAAGTGACCAGTGATTCCATGTCTATGTACAGTGAGGGGGAAAAAAGTATTTGATCCCCTGCTGATTTTGTATGTTTGCCCACTGACAAAGACATGATCGGTCTATAATTTTAATGGTAGGTTTATTTGAACAGTGAGAGACAGAATAACATCAACAAAATCCAGAAAAACACATGTCAAAAATGTTATAAATTGATTTGCATTTTAATGAGGGAAATAAGTATTTGACCCCCTCTCAATCAGAAAGATTTCTGGCTCCCAGGTGTCTTTTATACAGGTAACGAGCTGAGATTAGGAGCACACTCTTAAAAAAAGTTCATATACAGGGCCGTCTGAAGTTTGCCAATGACCATCTGAAGGATTCAGAGGAGAACTGGGTGAAAGTGTTGTGGTCAGATGAGACCAAAATCGAGTTATTTGGCAACTCAACTCGCCGTGTTTGGAGGAGGAGGAATGCTGCCTATGACCCCAAGAACACCATCCCCACCGTCAAACATGGGTGGGGATGGTGGGGGTGTTTTTCTGTTAAGGGGACAGGACAACTTCACCGCATCAAAGGGATGATGGACGGGGGCCATGTACCGTCAAATCTTGGGTGAGAACCTCCCCTCAGCCAGGGCATTGAAAATGGGTCGTGGATGGGTATTCCAGCATGACAATGACCCAAAACACACGGCCAAGGCAACAAAGGAGTGGCTCAAGAAGAAGCACATTAAGGTCCTGGAGTGGCCTAGCCAGTCTCCAGACCTTAATCCCATAGAAAATATGTGGAGGGAGCTGAAGTTTCGAGTTGCCAAACGTCAGCCTCGAAACCTTAATGACTTGGAGAAGATCTGCAAAGAGGAGTGGGACAAAATCCCTCCTGAGATGTGTGCAAACCTGGTGGCCAACTACAAGAAACGTCTGACCTCTGTGATTGCCAACAAGGGTTTTGCCACCAAGTACTAAGTCATGTTTTGCAGAGGGGTCAAATACTTATTTCCCTCATTAAAATGCAAATCAATTTATAACATTTTTGACATGCGTTTTTCTGGATTTTGTTGTTGTTATTCTGTCTCTCACTGTTCAAATAAACCTACCATTAAAATTATAGACTGATCATGTCTTTGTCAGTGGGCAAACGTACAAAATCAGCAGGGGATCAAATACTTTTTTCCCTCACTGTACATAGGGAAGCAGTCTCTAAGGTGCATGGTAGAGTCCTGGGTGGTAGCCGGCAAGTAAAAGTGACTAAGTTCAGGGCAGGATATTGGGCGGAGGCCGGCTAGTGGGGACTATTTAACAGTCTGATGGCCTTGAAATGGAAGCTGTTTTTCAGTCTCTCTGTAATGGCAATCAGTACTGCGATTAGGTAACGCACTGCTGGGAAGTGTGTGTGTGAGTGAGGGAGAGAGGGTCGTACAAGGCCCATGTTAATGTGTGAAGGGGAAACAGTATTTTGTCCTTGACGTTTTTATTCTGTTGTTCTTCGGGCCCTTGGTCCCCATGTTGTAATACTACCACAGTTAATCCACTAACAGTGTCTCTGACCTGAATTGCACTCCAATTACATGGACTTCAAACAGTGTGTCTAACAAAGGTCAAGGCTTTAAGTCTATAATGCTTTATACTTTATACTAACCAGGGACATGATTGTGTGCGACCATTCTTAGGTATGGTAATACACACACACACACACATCAGTGAATGGGATGAGGGAGAGGGTGTATAATGGCTCTGTTGTTTGATCAAAGTGTGGGAGTCTGTGAGAGAGATTCCAGATTCCACCTCTGACTTTTCTCCCACTGGAATTCCACAGGCATTACTTTGGTCCTATAGCAGTGCTTAGTTCCTCCAGCGTCCCGAACCGTTTCTTTCAGTTTAAACCTCATTGGAGGACTGGACTGTGTGTTCTAGTCCCTAACCACTACACCACCCACAACATGGCTGCATTCACATCAAGTCTATTGTCTCACTGTTCTCTCACTGTTATCATTGTGGATGTACTGGACAGCGGTACTGTACTTTGATAACATTTTTTTTTACTCTTCTGTCTCTCTCTGCCCCCCCCCAGGTTAACAGTATGTCAGTAGTAGGGATGCAGCACAGTGAGGTGGTAGCAGCCATCAAGGCCGGGGGAGATGAGACCAGTCTACTGGTGGTGGATCGTGAGGCAGAGGCTTTCTTCAACAGCTGCAACGTCATTCCTACTGAGGCCCACCTCACAGGTACGTACAGAGGGACACGGACAGAGGGACACGGACAGAGGGACACGGACAGACAGAGTGGCCTTGTTGAAGTTAATGATTAAACTGAAGTTCGGGTGGAGGACTAGCTGGCTGGCATCAGAACTAAAACAAGCCAATAACCTTCTCTTTAAAGATGAAGTCATTGCAACCATATCCACAGTGACAGGAAACAAAGAGCCCTAAAGATCTGGGACAGAGGAGTCGGGCACTAAAGTCAAACCCTTTATTCAGATATTTGATTTCCACAGTATTTATTAGTCCGATTAGTCAACAATACCACTGACATCATACAGGACAGGAGTGAGGGGAGGACTGTGGTTCCAATTAAGTAGTTTATCTGCCGTTTGTATCACCATTCCTTATCAACAATGTCAACAAAACTAAATATTGTCCCACTGTTTCCTTCTAGGACCTCTTCCTGAACCTGTGTCAGATGGAGGAGCAGAGGAGGAGGTGAGGAGGACTGTGTGTGGGGGGGAGGCAAATCCGCTCGCTTTGTCTGTCTCGCGCCTTCACTGTCTCTCTCTTTCCCGAACACTTTCACACGATTCAGAGCTTGGCTCAAAGCTTTAATTATTGAATTGGTAAATCAGAAACCTAAATAAGCCTTTGGCTAGATAAGATGTGTGTGTGTGAGGTCAGTAGTATCATACCTCATTGAGGGCAGACGGGCCGAATGTAGTGACATTAAAGCTGTGTCCTATGCCCTTAAAAAGGGTACTAATCTTTACAGATGCCCATTTGTCTCTGATCAAAAGTAGTACACTTTATAGGTAATAGGGTGCCATTTGGGACTGACAATAAGATTGATGCTGGCTGACAAAGCAGCCGTAACACCTGGGACCAAGCGTAGGGGATTGGTAGCGATGACATCGCGGCTGACCATGTCGCCATGGTAACTGTCGATCAGTGTTCTCTCTCTGCCCAGCCCTGAAGGACCATGGGATTGGGAGCCTCTATAATTCTTGAAGCCTACTGGTGATTCTGCTAATGAGATGAGATGGCTAACTATCTGACTAGCTCTCGTCCATCTTGCTCACTCACACTAACTCAGAGCTATAAAGCTGAGAGTAGAGAACAAAAGCACATCTCAATGGTTCTGAGCAAGTGCTGGTAAAGTCAATGTTCAGCAGCAAATAAGACTGCACACAGTGATCAGTGTTTGTGTGTTGTCAGTTGACGGAATCACACAGGTTGCTATGAGTAGGGCACCGCATGGTGAATCCTGACCTCTTGTGGCCACAGTGATGTAGCACACCTACTGGTGATGGTGTGATTTCAATGTACTGGTATGTGTGTTTCAGAGGTGTGTTTATCTGTGTGTGATGCAGGTGAACGATAAGGTGTTTGTCTGTACAGGTGAACGATAAGGTGTGTTTCTAATGTGTGTGTCGCTATCTCTACAGGTCGAGGTAAAGTCTAAGGTGTCCGTAAGTTCGTCTACATCCAGCGCCTCCTCCACTGCCTCTCTACCAACAGCCACTGCCAGCACCCCTCCACCAGAGGTGTGTGTGTGTGGAAGTGTTTAACTATATTTGTAAGGGACCAGAAGTCCCCACAACAATAGTAAACAAACACAAATTTAGCCAACTGGGGACATTTTGTTAGTCCCCACAAGGTCAAATTCTATTTCTAGGGAGTTTAGGGTAAAGGTTAGGAGCAGGGTTAGATTTAGGGTTAGGAGCTAGGTTTAGGGTTAAGGTTAGGTTTTGGGGTTAGGGTAAGGGAAAATAGGATTTTGAATGGGACTGAATTGTGTCCCCACAAGGTTAGTTATACAAGACTGTGTGTGTAAGCGGTGAACATTTTTGTCAGTGGAATATCTAATGAGTAACATGTTCTCTCTCTCTATGTGTGTGTGCGCGTGTTTGCTTGCAGGTAAAATTCCAGGCGGTTCCGGCTAAGGAGCCTGATGTAGGCCTCGCCCTCAGCATGTCTCTAGCCCAGGCCAAGGAGAGGGCTCACCAGAAACGCTCAGCCAAGAAAGTCCCTGCCATGGACTGGCGCAAGAGGAACGAACTCTTCAGTAACCTATAAACCACATATTTCCTTCTTTCTTTCTCTCTTTTGCTCTCTCCAAACTCTCGGGTGTACACACACACACACAAATATGTGAAAGCAGTGTTATTTTTCGTGATTTCATGATTTTCATCAAGTGCTAATTTAGGGATTTTCCACTTATAATATATATATATATATAATATATATATTTTTAAACGCCACTCCTGAATAAGAAACAATGTAATTAACAATTTGAAGCTGGAAAAACAATGTACAGTTTACGTCTAGTAGAGCAGGATGGTGACAAAATAAGAGATTTATGAGATACAGGGAAAATGATAAAGAATAAACATTGCTAGAAAGTGTCAAGGTGTGTCGTTGAATGTTGTTGTCAGTCTTTTAATCTGCAATCTGGTTGGTTGGAGGTCACAAAACAACCTTGTAAAATCATGAGCTAGCCAATAGCAAGCTGGAACTGATGGAGCTTTGTGGATGACTGAAGATGAATCAATCTTATTTCCAGAGACTTTCAAGCTTTAGTACTTCTGACTAGATGAACAACAGACGATCTGTTGAATTCTTAGCAATACAAGACCATTGTCTTAGCATTGATCACTTAAGAGGTCTACATGTCTGTTTAGCAAATATCACTGAATTTGTTCAGGAATTGTATCATTCTAATGCTGACCACTGGTTTACTTTATGGTGTGATTGATGTTTACTACCCTTTCTGTTTGAAGATGTTGTCATGTCAATTCTTAGAATGTAGAACTCATTCCGGATGGGGAATTCAAAATACATTTAAATTATGTTCTAAATGTGTCAATCAGTCATGGTCATATCATATGTGGTTCTAGATTTTTGAATTCAAAGTTAACCATTCTGTCCAAACCGGTGTTCAATCACCCCTATTGTAAAATCCTAAATAGATTTTCACTTTATATTTGTATCATCATGATTCAAATTTTTTTTCCTGCCATTGTCTCAACGTTTTAAAGAATGACATGAAAATATAATTTTTCATGTTTCTTTCATTTGATTTGTACATAGTGAATTATGTCTTAAAGAAAGAAATCCTCAGTTTGTTTGATTGTTTCTGAATCTCTCTTGGTTGAATGGAGTGTTAGCCTACTGTACAATGTATCAGTCAGTTCCTACTTTATGTGTCGGTTAGCTCTGGTCCAGGGCGTAAGTGGTGCCCTGGACCAGAGCTATGTATCAGTCATCTGAACCACATAGGCGCAATAGTATAGACCAGGGATCAACTCTGGTCCTGGAGAGCTATTGGTTGTGAAGGCTTTTGTACACTGTACACTGGTAGAAGGGCTGAGTTGTATTGACGAGGATGACTGTTATAAATTTGGGACCAAACATGTTGTCTTGTCTTTCTTTAACCCTTTGTGTGTGTGTGTGTGTGTGTCTCACCATGCGTACTCTGTGGTATCTCAGAAAGGAAATCGACTGTTTTGGTATAGATTCTCCCTTTAATGGTTTAAACAGTAAACTGATGAGTAAGCAGGTGGGCGTGCATCACAAACAACACAGACCAATCAGCAAGTCAGTAGCTAGTGCTCTAGAACAATGTTCTGACATTATGATGAAGCCTCAAATTTAAAAAAGACATGTCACACTTAACAGTTCTTACAATTCCTGTAAGTACAGCGTCAAATTTTTTTGTACTTACTCTAACACTGTACTTAAGGTTCATGTTAATAAGGTTATGTACAGTAAGAAGTTTCAGGGCTCTATTCAATCCGTATTGCGGAAGTTCAGCTGTACAGCGTGATTAAAATTTTACGGCAATATTTCCGTGTTAGCGGAGACTGCATTCACGGTAAACGCTGCATAGGTCGGCTCAATCTGAAAGTAACTTTACATTTCTATCACTTCAGTGACACAGATTGAATAGAGCCCTAAGAATGAGTAATCATTCACCCAAATTCCATAAATTTGCATTTGTAGACAGTGGCCAGGTGAAGAAAACCAAATCATGGATTGTTGTCTTACCTTGTCCATAGACTGCTTACAGTGTAAGGAAACCAATATGTAATTTGGGTGAACTATCCCTGTGTGTGTATGTATGTATGTATGTACATATGAACAAAAATATAAACGCAATAATTTAAAATATTTTACTGAGCTACAGTTAATGAGGAAATCAGTCAATTGAAATAAGTGAATTAGGCCATAATCTATGGATTTCACATGACTGGGAATACAGATGTGCATCTGTTGGTCACAGATACCTTAAAAAAATGGGTCGCAGGATCTCGTCACGGTATTTCTGTGCATTCAAATTGCCATAGATAAAATGCAATTGTGTTCGTTGTCCTTAGCTTATGCCTGCCCATACCATAACCCCACCGCCACCACGGGGCACTCTGTTTACAATGTTGACATCAGCAAACCGCTCGCTCATACGACGCCATACATGTGGTCTGCAGTTGTGAGGCCGATTGGTCGTACTGCCAAATTCTCAAAAACGATGGAGGGGGCTTATGGTAGAGAAATGAACATTAAATGTTCTGGCAACAGCTCTGGTGGACATTCCTGCAGTCAGCATGCCAATTCCACGCTCCCTCAACTTGAGACATATGTGGCATTGTGTTGTGACAAAACTGCAGGCCTTTTATTGTCCCCAGCACAAGGTGCACCTGTGTAATGATCATGCTGTTTAATCAGCTTCTTGATATGCCACACCTGTCAGGTGGATGGATTATCTTGGCAAATTAGAAATGCTCACTAACAGGGATGTATACAAATTTGTGCACAAAATCTGAGAGAAATAAGCTTTTTGTGCGTTTGGAAAATGTCTGGGATCTTTTATTTCAGCTCATGAAACATGGGACCAATACTTTACATGTTGCGTTTTATATTTTTGTTCAGTGTATAATTGCAGTATTGATGGAGACTGTACTGTAGAACCTGAGTATACTTGCCGTTTAATGCCCGAGTAAAAGTAACTATGTGTGCGTCCCAATTCCAAAATGACACCCTATTTCCAATGAAGTGCACTACTTTTGACCAGGGTCCTATGGCTCCTGGTCAAAAGTAGTGCACTAAATAGGGTGTCATTTGGGAGGCCCGCTATCTGATGTAATAAACACTGCATGAAGCAGAAGCAGCTATACACATAATATTAAGCGCAGTACAATATCACAGCTATAAGACTTCAAAGCTATAATCATGGAATTTTATCATCATGGAATTTTGTTATATGAATGATAATATAAATAATACAATATTGTTGACATGACATATGACAGAGAAGGTGCATACAGACTGTCGGATGAAATATAAGTAATGTTTTTTTTTTACAAAATAAAAAGTCAGTTGATGTAGTCATTGTAAGAAGAACACTTTTTCAGAAAAATATATACGAAAGCCGCTTTCTCTCTTGAAGAAACCATCACTGAAATGGGCCCAAATCCATCCCCTTGTCTTTGGTTTTGGGGGTGGCACTGGTTAATACAGAATTCAAGTGGCAGTTACATATACCAAGACCCACCTCACAGTTTCTAAACTGCAGGAGCAGCATTGGAAACACAAAGTGGCTACATACAATGTTGGCCTTATAAATTCATGATACAGTATGTACCCATTGATTGTTGAATATAACTTATAAATGCCTCATGAGCTTCGTTCAATTGTCTTACGCCCTCAGAACCAACCCCCCCCCCCCCCCCCCCCCCCCGTCCGTCCGTCCTCAGAACAGTCTCAATTCGTCAGGGCATGGACTCAACAAGGTGTCAAGCGTTCCAGAGATGCTGGCCCATGTCGACTCCAAAACCCAGCAACGTTGCAGTTCTTGAAACACTCAAACCGGTGCACCTACTACCATACCCCGTTCAAAGGCACTTCAATCTGTTGTCTTGCCCATTCACCCTCTGAATGTCACGCATACACAATCCATGTCTCAATTGTCTAAAGAATCCTTATTTTACCTGTCTCCTCCCCTTCATCTACACTGAAGTGGATTTAACAAGTGACATCAATAAGGAATCATAGCTTTCACCTGATCAGTCTATGTCATGGAAAGAGCAGGTGTTCTTAATGTTTTGTATACTCAGTGTATAATTTTGATATCATGGATGGTCAGTCCTTGCCATCCATAGCTCTGTCTATACATTTGAGTGGTTAGATTCATCAAGCCCCATTCCTCATCTTTTTACCGAAAGATGTTTATTGTTTCAACTGCTGAGGGGAGGACGGCTCATAATAATGGAGAAAACGGAATGACATCAAACACATGGAAAGAACATATCTGATACCATTCCACTCATTCCGCTCCAGCCATTACCATGAGCCCGTCAACCTCCTGTGATGTGTATACTACTCACCTCACAGCCTATACATGTCAGTAGTATAAACACCTGTACAGTTGATTACTGCTACAGTGCTATTTGGGTTGTTAATCAGATTCGTCACGCCATTCTTGATTTCTTTTTCTTTCTTTTTTTTCTCCTTTACATTTTAATTGTTTAACATTTGACTGCATTGTTAGGAGCTAGAAACATAAGTATTTTCGCTGCATCCGCTATAACACCTGCTAAACTGTGTACGTGACCAAAACTTAGATAACGTACTGCAACACCGTTTCTACACAGCTGAGCTGGACCTGAAGACTTGTGCTTTCATTTGACAATAGTGCTTTACAAAGTATCACTGCCCCCCCCCATGTTGTTTTGAAGCCTTTGGAGGGCAAACACTGGATTTCCACTTTGGTAAACCATAAAAAATACAAACATATGCATGGAATTTAATTCAGATAATATGTCATATCTTTTAGATATTTACCCAACTCGCAAACAATAATCAACCAAAATATAGTATATTACATGTTAAATAACATAAGATGAAATAAATGAAAGTACTTTTGCAATGCCATAGTTACATTTAACATTTAAGTAAATAGGTGCTCCCTTTGTTAAAACAAACAAATGCAAACAAAGTAAAAACTAAATTCTCAGTTTTCAGGAACGTTAAAGATTATCTCATGTTAAGAATATTGACACACTTTTTTAACGTAACGTTGGGTAAAGTTTAAGACGAGAATATAATATAACTTATGATACAATACATACATGTTAAAAATTGACCCTTATTCCCTTTGTGGTAAAATCTGGTTGGCTCAGAGCAAAGCTGTAGCAAAGCCACTCATGCTCTATGTCATACACCTGTGCTCTATGACATAAACATGTGCTCTATGTCATAAACCTGTGCTCTATGTCATATACCTGTGCTCTATGACATAAACATGTGCTCTATGTCATAAACCTGTGCTCTATGTAATAAATCACAGTACACTTGTCTGTGTTATTGTGCTCTCTGCCTAGCAAAACCTTTGATCCAGAGTTATATGCTTCAGTTTAGGTAAGTCCCGGTGTGTGTGTGCCTCTCACTGATGCTATTCCAACAACAAAATCCACAGGTGTATCCGTCAGTAAGTGCTTGCATAAAAAAATTCTGATGACATCATAAAGTGTGTGTATGTGTAAGATATCTGCGCTCCACATTGTGCCTTCCTGCTCTCCTCACCCTACTGCTCTCCTCACCCTACTGCTCTCCTCACCCTACTGCTCTCCTCACCCTACTGCTCTCCTCACCCTACTGCTCTCCTCACCCTACTGCTCTCCTCACCCTACTGCTCTCCTCACCCTACTGCTCTCCTCACCCTACTGCTCTCCTCACCCTACTGCTCCCCTCACCCTACTGCTCCCCTCACCCTACTGCTCTCCTCTCCTCACCCTACTGCTCCCCTCACCCTACTGCTCTCCTCACCCTACTGCTCTCCTCACCCTACTGCTCTCCTCACCCTACTGCTCCCCTCACCCTACTGCTCTCCTCACCCTACTGCTCTCCTCACCCTACTGCTCTCCTCACCCTACTACTCCCCTCACCCTACTGCTCTCCTCTCCTCACCCTACTGCTCTCCTCACCCTACTGCTCTCCTCTCCTCACCCTACTGCTCTCCTCACTCTACTGCTCCCCTCATCTTTTCACATTCCCTCACCCTTCCTCTCCCCTCTCTCTTCACTTCTCTCATACTTTCTCTCATTCACCCTATGAGAGTGGATGTTGGAAACATGCAGATCAGACTAAGCAAGTCTAGGGCTGCGTCCCGCATGGCTCCCTATATAGTGCACTACTTTAGACCAGGGCACATAGGGCTCTGGTCACAAGTGGTGCACTATATAGGGAATAGGGTGCCATTTGGGTCGTACCCTAGGTATCTGGCAACCCAACCCAACCCTAGGTATCTGGCAACCCAACCCAATCCATTGAACCCAGCTGATCCTATTCAGGTTGCATTGAGTGAAATGAAGAGGATTTAATCCAACATGGCATCCAGCTGGTCAGCGAGGTCATCAAACATGTTGCCGATGTCATCCAGAATATTCCCTGCTGCTTTCACTGTGCTGCTGCCACTGGAATAGAGAGAGGAGAGTGTTAACACAGTGAGTGTGTGTGTGTGTGTGTGTGAGTGTGTGTGTCTGCCGCATTTGTGTGTGTCTTACCCATCAGTGTCATCCTGAGCCAGCTTCCTCTCTACATCTTTCAGCGCTTCCTCGAGTGACGTGCTGGTCTCATCCAGCCTCCTCTGAACCAGCACCTCCGAGCAGGCCTCACCAGCCTGGGCCTTTCCTGCTCGTCCTGCCTGGCTTGCAGGCCCTGAGGTGCGGTAGGATGGAACGGGGGCTGCCTGGGCTGGGGAAGCGAAAACCACACTCTGGACCACATTGAGAGTCACACCAGGGGAACGGGCTGTAGCGGCTGACGTTATGGATGTGCTGAGCTGGGGAAGTGTAGAGACAGTAGCAGGCGTCTGGTGATTTACTGGCTTGGATGTTATTGTTTTCTGCGGACTGGCTGGTTTGGTTGCTGTTACTGGTTTCTGTGGATTGATTGGTATAGAGGTGGTTGTGTGTGTATTTTGTGGGCTGGCTGGTATATTGATAGTTGCCTGTGTCTGTTGACTGGCTGGTCTCGATGTAGTTGTGTTTATTTGTTGATTGGCTGGTATAGCGATGGTTATTTGGTTGTGTGCGCTGCCTGATTTGGACGTTTTTGCTGTCTTCTGTTGACTGCCTGGTTTAGATGTAGTTGTGTGTATCTGTTGACCAGCTGGTTTGAGGGGAGGGCTGGTTGGTTTAGAGGACGGAGGTGGTTTCTGGCCTTTCCCTGTCGATCCTACTCTCTGTAAACTGCTCTCTGACCTCACACCTGCTTCCTCCTCACTCTGTGTGTCTCTCTTTGTGTGTGTGTGGAAGCCGTTGGACCGGCCGTGTGTGTGCGGCTGTTTGTGTGTGTCGTCTTCGCTGGGGGTGAAGATCTCGTCCAGTGTGTGTGTGTCCCGGTCTTTGGGCTGACGTCGCCGTTTGACAGTGTCCGACTCTTTAAGGTTGAACTCAGGGACCTCCAGGGACTTTGGGGTCTGCATCTTTGGGTCTTCTAGAGAAGCCTGGGGCTGGATTTCAGTCTCTGCCCGGCACCCTGCTCCCAACCTGGGCCGCTGTTTGATGGTAAGGTTGCCCTCCTCCGCGAAGGGGAGGTTCTCACTGGAGCTCCTCTGAAGCGACGTAGAGCTTTCCAATACTGAACCACTCTTCCTCTCTCTCTCCTCCTCCTCTTCTGGGATTCTCTCTATCCCTCCATCTCTATCCCTCCGCTCGCTCCCCATCCTCCTCAGGCCTCCCAGCCCCAGAGCGGGTACAGGTTTGTGGGAGGCGAGGGTGGGGGTGCATGGGGTGGGTAACTCTACCTCCTTAGAAGGGCTGCCCCTGGGCCCGGACCCCTGTAGCCTGGCTGCGATGCTCCTCACACTGCCTGCACTCTCAGTCTCCACCCCTGCCACCTCCACTTGCACTGACACTACTGCCGCTCCTCCTGATTCGTTGGCCTGGCTGCCACTCACCGAGCTCATCCTTTTAGGTGGCGGTGGGGGCGGGCCTTTGTGGCGAGAGCGCACAGTGAATGTGTGGCTCCGGCTGATGTGGCGTTGGACGGCGGAGGATTGACCGCGGCCTGGTTTGCGTCCTAGTGTGGCGTACGAGGGCATGGTCACCGGGGGAACTGATTCCTGCGGCGATGACTCGTCGTCTTCAGTTTCTCCATCTGACAGGGCGTAGCGGGTCAGACTCTGGGTGCGTTTCTTAGGGCCCTTAAAGGCCTCTGTGTTGAGGCCTAGTCCTGGGAGGGGGACAGCTCCAGCATGGGGCTTGGGTAGACCACGCTGGCCCAGATCGGTACCTCCTCCCTGGGTGTGGAGGTAGCTGAAGGTCCTCTGTGTGGGGGAAGCCTGGGGAGAGGGGGTGTGGAGGTGGGCAGGGGACTGGCAGGGTTTGGGTTTACTGGGCACAGGCACAGCTGGGTAGGCGAAGCGGGGCATCTTGCTGGGGGTGAGAGGAGGGGTGAGGGGGGTGATGGATAGTTTGGTGGGGGGCTGGGGCTGGCGCTGCTGGTCTGACCACAACTCTGTGGGTCTCTGTCTGTCTCTCCCTGGACTCCCTCCTCCACCCTGTCTTGCCCATCCTCCTCCCCCTCCTCCCAAGCACTCGTCCGAGCGACTGTACATTCCAGCTGATGCCAGAGTCTGTTGGTGAAGCTCTTGGGAATATCCCGGAAAATTCCCAGAATTCCCGGATCCGCGGGAGCGCGTTCCAATGCTCTCCTGGCTAAGCGACATCGGCGACACCACACCCCTCACCACACCTCTCACACCCATCCCAAACCCCCCTATCCCCACCCCTCCTCCTCCTGCTCTGCCCATCATGGCGTTCTGTAGCTCTGTGCTCAGCTCGCTGTCCTGAAAGGAGAGGAGGGGTGTCCTGGGGGTGTGGGGGGATGGGGGGCAGCAGTCGGCGGGGGGCTCGATAGCCACCAGCTCCAGAGCAGCGAGGGGTTTACTACGCCGTAGCGTGCCGGAGCCATTGGTATGGTGACGAGAACGATGCAGGTCGCATAAACGCTTCACGGCTAACATCAGCTTCTTCTGATGACCTGGGAGAAGGGGAGAGAGAGAAAATAAATTCAACACAAATTGTAGAAAAATAACTATTAAAAAAATATATAGATAAAAAGTGGTTAAAAAGGTTGATAATTGATTGTCGACACCAAGGCTGTTATATTGGTAAGGGGGAATGTGTCCAAGAGCTCTCACACACACTGCTGACGCACAGATGCCCTTACAATAAGCAATGTGACCTTGCTTAGTGTAAGTGCATCTGTGCGTCTGCAGTGTGTGTGTCCGTGCGTGTGGAAATCTCTTACCCAGCTTGGTGATTCCTATCTCCGATAAGTCTTCCCAGGTGATATCCTTGACAATGCTGATGGTGTCATAACCGTTCTCACACAGTTTCTTCTGGTACTGAGGGAGACCAATCGCACTCAACCACTCTGACAACTCGGACTGACAGAGAGAAGGAGGGAGAGAGAGAGATGGAGATGGAGAGAGAAGGAAACAAAGAAACAGCATTTATTGAATTCAACTGAGTGAGTGAGTGAGTGAGTGAGTGAGTGAGTGAGTGAGAGAAAGAGGGACAGAGAGAGAAAGAGGGACAGAGAGCGAGAGAAAGAGCGAGAGAGAAGGACAGAGAGAGAGAGAGAGAAAGACAGAGGGACAGACAGAGGGTGAGCTTGTTGAAAAATGGTTGCATGACAAAACACAGTTACTGCTGATTGTAAAGCTGTACATGAAACATGAAGAACTAATTATTATTAATGACATAGACTGCACAACTCTTTCTATCAAAAGCATGTCGTCATCAGCCATAACTGTGTACAGAGTGCAAAGGTCATGTGAGAGTCTCTTACAGGGATGTAGTCAGGCAGCCATTCTGGGATGTTTAGGTTGCCTATCTCCATGGAGATCTTCTTACGGTGGCCTGGCTTGGTCACACCGATAGCTGTCAGGTCCTGGAGAGACACACACCAGGTTAGAAAGCCCCGTGACTAGGCTGTCGATTATAAAAATGACTATAGAACACATTTATCCATGCTCATTCATTTTGTTGACCTAAAACATAAACTGAGGTAAATGTGTTATTAATCAATAAATGTATGAATGGGTAATACAATCCAGTATCTGACCTCTGGGGTCATTCTACTGATAGTAGGCACATCGTATCCTGTTGTGAGGAAGTTAGCAGTGTAGCTCTCCAGCTGGAACTCACGCAGCCATTGGTAGATGGCCTCAGAGTCCTATAGACAGAGAAAATAAGGTTATCACACATGCACACAAACACCACAGGAGGTTGGTGGCACCTTAATTGGGGAGGACGGGCTCTTAGTAATGGCTGGAACGGAATAAATGGAATGGTAATCGCATTCATTAAACACATGGTTTCCATTCACTCCCCTCAGCAGCCTCCTGTGACACACACGCACACATGGACGAACGGACAGACGCACTTACACACACACACACCATATTCAACTCACCCTGCCCTCCAGGAGCTGATCTGGACGCATGAAGCCACCCTGCTCCTCCGACCGAGTACCACCGCTGACCTGATGACGCGGACCACCTGGGAGAGAGAGAGAGAGAGACACAGAGATAGGGAAAGATAGAGATTCGAAAATCACCTAAGTTAATGCACAGAGGACACAGATCAGTTGGTAGAGCATGGCTCTTGCAATGCCTGGATAGTGGGTTTGATACCTGGGACCACCCATACGTAAAAAATGTAAGCATGCATGACTTTGTCGCTAAAGTGTCTGCTAAAATGGCATATACACTGAGTATACCAAACTTTAGGAACACCTTCCTAATATTGAGTTATACCCCCTTTTGCCCTCAGAACAGCCTCAATTCGCCGGGCATTTTATTTTTACATTTTTAGCAGACGCTCTTATCCAGAGCGACTTACATGAGCAATTAGGGTTAAGTGCCTTGCTTAAGAGCACATCGACAGATTTTTCACCTAGTTGGCTCGGGGATTAGAACCAGCGACCTTTCGGTTACTGGCACAACGCTCTTACCCACTAAGCTACCTGCCGCTCCGGGCATGGACTCTACAATGTGTCGAAAGCATTCCACAGGGATTCAGGACCATGTTGACACCAATGCTTCCCACAGTTGTGTCAAGTTGGCTGGATGTCCTTTGGGTGGTGGACGATTCTTGATACACACGGGAAACTGTTGAGGGTGAAAAATCCAGCAGCGTTGCAGTTCTTGACACAAACCAGTGCGCCTGGCACCTACTACCATACCTCGTTCAAAGGCACTTAAATATTTTGTCTTGCCCATTCACCCTCTGAATGGCACACACACACACAATCCATGTCTCAAGGCTTACAAATCCTTCTTTAAACTCTCCTCCCCTTCATCTACACTGATTGAAGTGGATTTAACAAGTGACATCAATAAGGGATCATAGCTTTCACCTGGTCAGTCTATGTCATGGAAAAAGCAGGTGTTCTTTATGTTTTGTATACTCAGTGTATAGCTATAAGCCTACTGTAATAGCAAGCTGAATGAAGGACTGAGGTAAAGGTGTATTATCTTGTAGATCTGTAGGGTCAGTCAACAGATTACTGTAGCTCACTGAAGAATGCATCCTCTCTCTCTCTCTCTCTCTCTCTCTCTCTCTCTCTTTCTCTCTCTCTCTCTTTCCCTCTCGCTCTCTCTCTCTCTCTCTCTCTCTCTCTCTCTCATTCCAAACAGGTCAGGGCCCCATCCCACCTTACCCCCTCCAGAGGTGAAGAAAGCACCTGAGAGAGAGGTATTTGGCCCAGAGGGTATAGAGGGAGAGAGAGGCCCATGTCTTTGTGTCTGTACACACTTCATCAACCATCAACCCCTACATCCAAAACACACTCATGCTTCTACTCCCAATTCTGACAAAAACAGAGACACAGAGCGAGAGAGAGAGAGAGACAGTGAGAGAAAGCTGGAAACAGGGAGAGCTAGAATACAGGACATACATTCAGCACACACAGTTCATATGAACATATCAATCCCATAGGGATACATTGTATCTGGAAGCTAGGCCTAAGCTGAGTAGTGTAGCAGTGAAGTGGAACACAGCGATCACACAGAGTGTATCAGACCTTTATCTGTTTACAAGAACGCTGCCTGAACAGCACACATCCCTCATGTATCACATCTACCATTCTGTGATTTCATCTGACAACAGAACATGATGCTTGTATGAAAGGACTACAGTGCAGAACTGGTTGAATAGGACCCTGTCTGTGCCAGTCCTTACACATGGACATGATCATACCCACACTAACATTTTTGCTGTAAACTTACATTCATTTGTTACACAGTTAGCTACTGGAATGATATATTACAGTACAGTACTGTTAAGAGCATTGCAGTATGGGGCTCAATGGCACAACAACACTGCTGATCGGCTTTCTGTTGATCCAATTTTTATATCCTCATTATCACAGCACTGTTTCACTACTAAAACCCAGAGTAAATACATAATCACCACAGAACATCAGAAAACATGCTCAGCTGAAGAAGTAAACAAACAAACCACACTTTAGTAAACAAAACTCTATGGGTCATACTTGCGAACAAAATGCGCATCAACCAATTAAAATCGTCCACGTAGTTGCACATGAAAAAACGCTACATAGCTGTTCCTATTACATAACCTGCCACATTTATCGCTATGCTAACCTGAGCAGGTGGCAGTGATTACGTCCGTTAACAAATTCGGCATCAGCCAATTACAAATGTTAGAACACCGTTCCATGAGCGCGTGCTGAGCAGAAGTCAAACGATACCATCTGCTAAGCAAATTTTTTAAAACACACAAAATGTCTACTGGACAAATAGTTCACAGTGCAGCGTGCCTGGCGCATGGTTATTTTTTCCGTTAGCGTCAAGTTTGAATCCCAGGTGAGATATAGTTGTATCCTTTGAAATGTAGAATTACATTTATTTTGATCGTTTGTTGCGAAGGGAAGTGCAGCCAAAACCTAGTAAATATATATTTAATGAGGAGCTTCTTGGAGTCCCTCTTGCAGACCGACACATAGGCTACTGCTACAGGGTGTAACGTTAGAACTGCCGGAGAGCACCAGAGCGATACTCTGTCACTTCTCAGAATGGTGGTCTTTAATGAAGTTTATATCAAAGCTGAATCAATGTTTCGCAAGAACTTAATGCTTAATTTGTATTCAACAAAGGCCGAACATACCGAATATAATAACATTGTTTAACGTTATTGTTAGACTAAAAACACCACTTCAAAACGTTTAAAACGTTTTATATGCATTATTAAATTCATCCACTAAGTCACATATGCTTTATTTTAATCGAGCGTCAAGGACCAGCAGTGAACAGTTTTTTCCTAAACAAACAAGCTTGACGTGAAGGGGCCTCGAACCCACGTCTGGTGTGGATGGACAAAATCAACATGCGTGCCGGGTCTAGTCTGCATGTTACTGTACCCCGAAGATACAGTCAATCACCTTAGCGGCATACGCCAGTAACGCCACCCAGCAACGATGGTAGTAGTGGTACATGACAGATATTTGACAAGACCATAAGGCTCTTCGATTTTTTTTAAAAACTACTTAAATGTTGTATAGATCTCCTTTTGTGTTTTTCCAGTAAAAGCACATGGATGTGTGTGAAACAGATAAGCAAAAACGTGCGACTTCTGTCAAATATGCGAAAACATGCCTTTTGAATTGTCTAACGCTACTAGTCAAGGATGCATCAGGCAATATTGGGACTAAACTTTCTAGACCAAGTAAACCTTGAATTTGGAGATTTAAAATATCCCTCTGTTGGCCTATTCTAAGAAATGCCATTGGTTGTGGATATAAAGTCTAAGATCTTTGATAGGCTGGTGAGGAATTTGTTACAGCATGGGGCTAAATGAGCCAGATAATGTAATGGTAACAGCTAACATGTAGCGTTGTATCACGTGCAACTAGGTCGACGATTTTAATTGTCTGATGTTCATTTTGAGACAGAAAGTTTAAACTTAAACATTTTATTATATTTGCAAGTATGTACCCCATGTATTTAGCTACAATAGTGCAGGTTAGCGTTGTTCGTCATGAATCCTTTGGAGGCAGCTCTGCAGAGTTGTCACGAGCTGGCACAGCCACAAAATCATAAACTGATTTTAAAACTAACCCTAACCACACTGCTAACCCTAAAGCCTAACCCTAACCTTAAATTATGTTTTCATAAATGTTTACAATATGGCCAATTTTGACTTTAAAGCTGGCTCATCTAGTGGATATCGCTCAGTTCTGCCTCCAGGACAAGACTCATCCCAATAAACGTCAACATGCCAAAATAACCTTATCTTCTAACTTGCTACATTTTGCCTGAAAATAGAGATTAAACCTTTTCACCCCGGCTCTCTGACAGACTACATTTTAGTTTTTTTTCTTCTCCTGTTTCTCCAGGTTGTTTGGGTCAAACAACACACAATGGTAAACGTCTCCAGTAAAACTATAATCACAGAGTAATTCATAGCTGAAGAGATTGCAGAAATAACAAGGAATAGCCAGAAGAACTGAGTCTTACCCCTCTGGAACAAGGAGAGCGGTGGAGCTCCTGTCTTTTTGCACCTCATCCCTCTCTCTCTGTGAAACTGAGTCATAAACACCCCTCTCTCTCTTATCTACTGTGTCCTTCTGTTATTCTCTTTCTTCACTTTCAACCCATCTCCAATGTCTCTCTACTCTGACTCTCTCTCACACACACTCAAACTATGTTTTCTGTTATTCTCTCTCACTGTCTGTTTCTCTGTCTGTCTCCTCCCCTTTCTCTCTTACCCACTCCCTCTCTCTGTCCTGTTGAAGTCTTTCTGTTGTGGTCTCTCTCCCCATCCCTCCTTCCTTCCTCCTCCCTCCCAGGTCCTGAGCAGCTGATAGCGGTTTGTTCATGCCATACTCAGCAGAACACCCTAAGCTGACAGAATACCTGTATCTCTTTTCCCTCTTGTCCTGTCCCATACCCACAGGTGAGAGATCAATGACTCACTCTGTCCCCTTTTATTGCTTCTGTAGAGAGCTGAGCTTCTGTATGTATCCCAAATGGCAACCTATTCCCTATATAGTGCACAACTTTTGAACAGAGCCCTATGGGCAATGGTCAAAAGTAGTGCCCTATAAAGGGACTAGGGTGCCATTTAGGACTGACCCTCTGTCTTTTATGTTTTGCAGTGAGGTGAGCTGAAATCTCATGTATTTTATTGGTTTATAGTGAGGAGATCTGTTGTCTATATTGGTTTGTGGAGAGGTAAGTTGCTGTGTTTATTGGCTGTGTAGAAAGCTGGTTTATGAATTGTTGATGTAGTGAGGTAAGTAGCTGTATTTCTTTCTCATTTCCCCTCTGCCCTGTGGCTGTAACTAGGTACTGTAGGCCTGGCCTGGGCTAGAAGGATCGGTGGATAGTCTGACCTCGTAGACTGAATACAGCTAGTTTAACAGACAAAAAGGCACATACAGAATATACTGTATCTACCGAAAATTACAGACAAAATGTCTCTGGGGTTGGCATGGGCAAATGCCGAGTATAAATACGAAAAGAGAGGAAGGGGAGAAGGGAAGGGAGGAGAGAAGGGTAGAGCGGAATGGTAAGCAGTGTAAAGTAGGGTTGTGGTCAATTCCATTTCAATTCAGAAAGTAAACAAAATGCTAATTGAAAAGTATTCAAGAGAATTTGAATTTCAGTGTACTTCCTGAATTGACTGGAATTTTAATGGAATTGACCCCAACCCTGGTGTACAGTAGTGTAACTAACCCATAGGTCCATCAGGTTGTTTGCTGTGGACTGGTCCTACTGAGCGAATCTGCTGTTCTCCTGATTCACCAGCAGAGGAAGCCAGCTACACACAAAAAGAGGAAGACGTTGTTCAGCTATTTGTGATCCATATGACTGTAGAAAAGGTGGATATACTTTCTCTTTTTTTTCCTGCTACCAAGTGTAATCTTTACTTCAGCTAGTGCTAGCTATAACATTTCTAAAATAATTGCCAAGTCACTGTGCTAACCTTGACTGTGTAGGGCTCCACTGCGGCGGCAGTTTGGCGAGTGTGTGTCCCGTTCTGTCCGAAGCCGTTCTCGGAGCTCTGCCCGCTGCCAGCACTACGACTGCTGCCCACACTACCTGCACTGCTGCCTGCACTGCCAACACTGTTCCTGTCTCCTGCTAGAGGGAGGGAGGGAGAGAGTATAACATTGTGGCAAAGTTTGCTTCCATGGGCTCGGTCACCCCTCGTCAGGGAGGGAGAGAAAGGAAGACAGAAAGAGAGGATCAGTGGAGAAGTGTACAGTACAAGATTGGGTCAAGATCAGGGAATTAGCTGGGAATGGAAACTTGGACAGGACACTTGGAGGGGAACAGGTCAGCAGCATGGGTCTCTAGGTGGGGATGGAGGCAGTAATTTGGACTTTAAGAGGGTGGTAGGGTGGTACATCTAGGGGAGTGGGTAAACAGAGGGGCACAGGGTAGTCTGGGTAGCTGGGTACACACACTCTTACCAGTGTGAGAGTTCCTGAGGACCCATATGTCCTCACTGTGGCTAGCTGGACTAGCTGGGGCTGAAAGGAGACTGCCAGGTGTACAGGTACCTAACAAAAACACACGGTGTAAGCCAGGTTTGGTGGAGGTGTGCTGGGGAGTGGGGGCCATGGGGGAGAGCAGGGCCAGAGGACTCCAGGCCAGGGTGACTCAGCAGGACTAAGGCGGGTATGGAGTAGGGGTCTGGGTATTGGGGGGTTGTCAGGGCCCCAATGGAAACGATAGGCCACTTTGTTTCCACAAAATTGATTTAGTGGATGGAGAGAAGTAGTAGAGGTCGAGAATATCTGTAAATAACTCTCACCTATTTTAGATTTAGTTTTAGTATTTATGATTAAAATACATTTTAGTCTTAGTCCCATTTCATCCTTCTTAGTTTTAGTTATTATCAGTCGACTAAAACTCTGGACAACTTTAGTCCTACTTTAGGCATTGTAGTTTTTCTTTGTTTTATTAAATAGTTCACACAAACCTCTAACTTAACTTCCAACATGCACATAATACCTTCCACTCCCTTAGTCATAGCCATTTTAGTCATTTAATAGTCAGTGATTTTTTTAAACTATTAAATAATGAATATTTAGGCTACCTTTAACTTCCATCATGTGCACATTCAGATAGCTTTGTCCAGCTAGGACTACTATCCCATCCTATACCTTAACTGGCAACATTGATATTGTGGCAGATTGTAACCAATGCCAGCCATAATTAACCACATAGTCTATAAAGCCTTGGCTACAGGTTAAACAATGTACAGCTCAGATGTTTTCCCCATCATAACTGTCAAGGGGGTAAATAACAGCGGTTTCCTTGAAAAGGGGAGGATTTTAGCTTTCCAGAAATGCCAGAAGTATTACTGTACTCCTAATATTCAACAAATAGCATTTGTTTTTCCCATAGGAAAAAAGCAACCACAACTTGCATTTGCGGACGGTGAGAGACCGCATCTGAATGAATAATAGCACCATGGGAAAATAGAGCTTCTGATGTGATCAAAACAAAAATAGCCTACATGAAAGTAAGAGAGAGTAAACATTATTGTTTCTAGTTAAGGTTAGTTACAAGTTAAGCGTCCTGGCTACGCATCAGTTCAGAAGATTGACGAGTGACTGAAGAGACCGCCTGGGAGCTGTGTGGGAGAGCCGCGCAGATCAGCTCAATCAGATCGTGCAATGAAAGATGTCAATTCTGCCAATGAGAGGATTGCATTAAATGATTGGGCAAAACCGATGAAAAGGAGCTTTATGTAAAAAGTATTGTGTAATTATCGTCTCGTCACATTTTCGCCGACTAAAATGAAAAGTAATTTGTAAAAGTTTGTGGTTTTTCCAGGATTTCTCTTTTCATTATCATCATAGTTTTAGTCAGGATTATTATTTTTTTGGTCATAGTTATTGTTGATGGAATTAACGTGTTTGTGTGTGTGTGTGAGGGAGGGAGGGGGGGATGCATGCATGCTAATGTGTGTACCTGGGTGGTCGTAGTACAGGGTGTAGGAGTCGTCTGTCTGGGGGGTGGAGCCAAGACTGGTGGGAGGAGCTCTGGACAGGAAGTGCTGCTGCCTTTGGCTTGGCAACGAGACCTGACGTGAGAGAGTACCCCCTGCAGACCAGAAGCAGAACACAAACACAGAGCTTAAAGCAGTGGTATTCAAATTGTTTCAGTGGGGACCCCATTTCACACACCCCAAATCTAATGACAACCTTAAAATCGGCACATTTATACATAAACAAATAACTTTCAAGTCATTACATTTTCATCTCTCTTATCAACATGAAAATAAAACAGTAAATACATTTACTCAATAAATATTTATTTTTCAAATGATATTTTTCAAAAACATTTGTATATTGCCTCATACAATAATTTTGTCCACGGCACAGCAATTCCCCCGTGACCCCACTAAGGGTACCACTAGTTTGGATACCAGTAGGGGTACCCCGACTTTGAATACCACTGGCTTAATTAAAGGATGGAGAAGGTGTGTTTGCAACTAGTACACACAGTATAGCCTTTTAGAAGGCTGAGGTCCCACCTAGGAGATGGATCCTGCATTCTATCCTTACAGATTCATAAAACCGTGAAGGCAGCTAAATATATGTATGAATCTCCAAGCTCCTTATGTAATAGCTAGTGAATTAATGTGACAAAATGGTAGTAGCAGAGTGGTTCGGCAGGAGCTTTCATTCCCATAGAGCCATAGAGAGAGCTTTCATATCAGCACTACTGCTGAGGGAGGCTTTCTAGGCTCTGTGTGTGTCCACGACAGCAGTGGGATACTGACACACTGTTGACACTATCACGCAGTACACACACACACACACACACTCAAAGACGAACACACACATTGCTGAGTTTGCCTCTGATAAGTTTGCTCTAATAGCAAGGACCTGTCAACGACTCAACTGAGCTTTCAACTGGGATTTCCCTTCACACACACAAACTTGTGCACACACACATACACACTCCTTACGCAGTCTCAGGGTTTTAGAACTGCGCTGACACTTCCCAATCTGGCCCTGCTAATCTGATTAAACTGCGTTTGTGTGTCTGCCTCCGTGTGTGTGTATGTACTGTGTGCCTCTGTGTGTGTATGTACTGTGTGCCTCCGTGTGTGTATGTACTGTCTGCCTCCGTGTGTGTGTGTGTGTTGAGTTTGTTTCAGGACCTCTAGCTCAGTTAGGGCTGCTGTTTGGAATACCACTGGGTATTTACAGCTGCATAGTTGGTGTGGTATTCTATTGTTGAACCAAGCTAAATGTGAAGGTATGTGTTTGTGGCTGCATGCGGGCATGTGAGTGTGTCTGTGTGCACATGTATGTCTGGGTGTACGCTTCGGCATGTGTGATTTATGTGTGTGTGTGTGTGTGTGTACCTGCTCTCCTGCTTATGACCTCCACTACAGACGGAGGGAAGTATCCAATCCGGTCCATTCCTCTCTGGTTGTCATGGATATAACCTTTCCACCTCCCGTCCATGTGCTGCTCCAACACCTGAAATCAACCGTTCATCATTATAGTTGTGCTATTTGAGTGAATGTGTGTTGATTATAAGTGGTTATCAGTCAACTTCTACCCACAGAATGGTTGCGCCACCTGATGTGAGAGCTGTTACATTGAAGTCTAGGTCGTAGCCATTAGTGCACACCGTAGCAAACTGTTTTGCAACGATAACAAGAGTTTCTTATTGATATGTGTATGTATGTATGTATGTATGTATGTGTATATATCTATATATAAACTCAGCAAAAAAAGAAAAGTCCCTTTTTCAGGACCCTGTCTTTGAAAGATAATTCGTAAAAATCCAAATAACTTCACAGATCTTCATTGTAAAGGGGTTAAACACTGTTTCCCATGCTTGTTCAATGAACCATAAAGAATCAATGAACATGCACTTGTGGAACGGTCGTTAAGACACTAACAGCTTACAGACGGTAGGCAATTAATGTCACAGTTATGAAAACGTATGACACTAAAGAGGCCTTTCTACTGACTCTGAAAAACACCAAAAGAAAGATGCCCAGGGTCCCTGCTAATCTGCGTGAACGTGCCTTAGGCATGCTGCAAGGAGGCATGAGGACTGCAGATGTCAGTCAATAAATTGCAATGTCCGTACTGTGAGACGCCTAAGACAGCGCTACAGGGAGACAGGACGGACAGCTGATCGTCCTCACAGTGGCAGACCACGTGTAACAACACCTGCACAGGATCGGTACATCCGAACATCACACCTGCGGGACAGGTACAAGATGGCAACAACAACTGCCCGAGTTACACCAGGAACGCACAATCCCTCCATCAGTGCTCAGACTGTCCGCAATAGGCTGCGAGGCTGGACTGAGGGCTTGTAGGCCTGTTGTAAGGCAGGTCCTCACCAGACATCACCGCAACAACGTCGCCTATGGGCACAAACCCACCGTCGCTGGACCACACAGGACTGGCAAAAAGTGCTCTTCACTGACAAGTCGCGGTTTTGTTTCACCAGGGGTGATGGTCAGATTCGCGTTTATCGTCGAAGGAATGAGCGTTACACCGAGGCCTGGTGCAGTCCATGAGGAGGAGATGCACTGCAGTACTTAATGCAGCTGGTGGCCACACCAGATACTGACTGTTACTTTTGATTTTGACTCCCCTTTGTTCAGGGACACATTATTCCATTTCTGTTAGTCACATGTCTGTGGAACTTGTTCAGTTTATGTCTCAGTTGTTGAATCTTGTTATGTTCATACAATTATTTACACATGTTAAGTTTGCTGAAAAGAAACGCAGTTGACAGTGAGAGGACATTTCTTTTTTTGCTGAGTTTATTAGCGAAAAAAATATATGGGGGATTGGAAATGATGCAGACAATTACATTGATGGAAGTTACAATCTATCTGCAATATTAAAGCTGATCTACCCCCTAATTATTTATTTTTTAAAGAGTTTCTTATTGACAAGTTCAGGTAGTCCCTCCCCGTTTCAGTCCGTTTTCTTCTGTTTGGTGAGTGAATACGACCCTGCTTGTGCTGTACACATAAAACTCAACACATGCATAATAGCTAGTATTCTACGCCTCATCTATCTCTATGAGTAACGGAAATGGGCTTATTAACATTCCAATGTGGGCAGGGTATGTGCAGGGTTAGAGGGCTAGGGCAGACAGGTTGGCACAGGCTCGGGTACAGTGCACAGCATCCCCACTGCCCACTGTGTGTGTCAGGCCAGCTGAGAGGATCTATGGAAGACATGCCCCAGGGAACACTGAACACTACAATGGAAGAGCTAACACACACACACTTTCTGAGCGAGCACACACACAAACACATACACACCCACTTTCTGAGCGAGTCTTAACAAATGCCCGGAGGGGCCAAAAACAAATATTAGAGAGTTCAGACAGTGTAGCTAGCACAGTACACAACAACAAAGTTCAAGCACTGTGTAAGGAAATTAAGGTATGACACACACACACGGCTTGCAAATGGTGATGTCTCAAGCAATGGAATGCACTAACTAATGACTGGAGCTTGTCTTTACCTGCTAGGTACCTTAGAACAACCTCCAACTCTACTCTAACTTTTTACACAGTATAGTCAATTAACCCTAGACATACCGCCAACACAGCAGCATACCTAACACCATAATTACAAACAGTTGACAACTTAAGAGTACACCAAATTACCCCAAAACGCCACACCTCACTCCACAAACAAAACTTACACAATGTACCGACTTACACGCTAACAGTAGGGTACACCAAATTACCGTCAGCACTTTAAAATACCTCACACCATAACCTCAAACCTCTAGAAACAAACTCACAAGTACACAGAATTCCCCCTCACAATGCAGCTACCTCAAGACAGTAGTTCTCCTCATTCAATCTTGTTATGAGAGCAGCTCTGCCTCCAGGACAGAAACAACTGTGATTGTTTACTTTTAGGCACGAACACGCACATACGTACGCACACACGCACGCAAGTGTACCATAATGAGGTCTCCTGCTCGGAGGTTGAGGGCTGTAGGGTCATGAAGGTTCCAGTAGTCCTTCACCGCTCTCACCTGGAGAGACCCTAATGCTTCTAGAGAGAGAGAGAGAGAGAGAGAGAGAGAGAGGGGGGAATTAGATATTATAGACCAAATCAGAACAAAGCAACACCCCTGGGGGGATAACGTCTAAAAGTGTGAACTGGAGAATGCATTGGAAACAATACAACACCCTGGGGAAATATACAGTGGAGCGGTAGGTCCAGAAATCAAAGAGAGTAATATGTAGGAGAGGAGGCCTATCTATCTCACCTCGTAATAGTATCTTGATGTCCTTGCTGGCTGATGAGGTGGTGAACTGGTTAACGTTGTCCAGAGCTGTCTGGTTGTAGGTGTTACGCAGGTTTACATTAATACCAGCCTGCATGGGCATTACACACACACACACACACACACACACAGATCGTTAGTCTCCAACACACACACACTCCCTAAAAAGTCTGGGTAGCTGCAGCCCAATATGGCGACCAGAGTATGGGTGAGTGGGTGTGTCGAAAGGAGTGGGTGTGTCGAAAGCGAATCAGCTAAATGGGCAGATTTGTTGCCACTAAAGACCGTTTTGCGTGGCTGATTGGGCTGCACTACGAGTCGATATTAAGCCGGGGACCGATGCGGCGGTGTTGTGCCTGCCTTCCTACTGGGTATCATGGTCGTGTCGCCGGAGGTAGCTAACGTGGCAATTTTTTTCTCTCACATTATTTTATTTCAAGTAGGAAAGCAGCCTACACAATAAATAACTAATATTGATAATCATCTAGATGTCACCTTGATACATACATACAGTCTACTACTCAATGAGGAGGGCATGAATGGCAACAACACCGGAACACAGTGACCTTCGCTCCAGCTTGACAAGCACTACTGTCCGGCAACGGTAAGCACACGCATACAACGCATGAATCAACCCTACACCCATCATCAATACTTAAATCTAAAATAAACAATCATGCACAATTATTTGTGTAAAACTAACAGTGAAATACGACTGACTCATCCACTGGCTTAAAAACAGAAATCCTAACTCTCGCGGTATGGTAGCTCAATGTACGGTAGTTGCACGGTAAGAAATGGAAGGGGAAAAAACCACAGCTCAATCAAAACCGTCTAATCTATAGCAGAGCGCTTTCGACACACCCACTCCTTTCCACACACCCACTCTTTTCCTTTCGACACACCCACTCCATTCCACACGCCCTCTACTTTCCTTTCGACACACCCACTCACCCATACTCCGGTCACCATACTGGGATGCAGCTACTCCCTGCTCCAACCAGGAGCTATGCGTCACCCCCATCCCTTATTGAAGAACAACAACTCTCAACATCTTTTTTAAAAGCAACCTACTCTTTGCAGCACTTCTCTTGTGAGTGTGACTATCAATCCTTAGCCAGTCTGTTTCTGTGTACGCTAACTCCAGCGACGTCTACAGAATAGCTCACATATATCCTGAACTCCTTTGTCCGTGTCATGTTTGGATAAGACAGAAACAGCATCCAGTCTTATGCTTCTTCAGTAGATACCTCAGTGCATGCGTCCAAATGGCACCCTATTCCCTATATACAGTAGTGCACTAATTTTGTCCAGAGCCTGTCGAAAGTAGTGCACTAAATAGGAAGTAGTGTGCCATTTGGGACACACCCAGTAAAGAGATTTAGATGGTAGTGTTAAGTCTTACGTCCAGCAGCAGGCGCACCACTTCCGTCTTGCCATAGAGGGCAGCCTCGTGCAGAGAGGTCCCAGCCTTAGTGGCTCTGTTGATGTCTATACCAGCCTTCAGTAGCAACCTGAGAACGAAATACACACAGACAGGAGGTTTTACACACTAACAACACACACACAGACAGACAGACACAGGAGCCCAGCTGTAGGAATGCTTAAGGTATCAGATTCAGACAGTTGTGGATGTGGTGGAGGAAATCTGGGGTCGCGTTTGACCAGGCCCATTGCTCTGCACTATGTGGAGAATTTGGGACACAGCCTGGGAATCTGGCGTTCCTCTGGGAATGCCTGGCATGGGGAGGGAACGTCAAAGAGATGATCCACAGACTCCCACAACACCAGGAAAATAAGGGAAGGAAGGAGAGGGTAGAGGAGAAAAAAAGAGGAGAGGAGGGTAGAGGAGGAGAGGAGGGTAGAGGAGGAGAGGAGGGGAGAGGAGGAGAGGAGGTTTAGGAAGGAGGGAGGGTAGGAGAGTGAGAGAGATAGGGTTAGTTTGAGGAGGATAGAGGAGTGAGAGGAGGTAGGAGTGGAGGAGAGGAGGGAGAGGGGAGAGGAGGGTAGAGAGAGAGGAGGAGAGGAAGGTAGAGGAGGAGAGGAAGTTAGAGGAGGAGAGGAAGGTAGAGGAGGAGAGAGAGAGGGTGAGGGAGAGAGAGGAGGAGGAGAGGGAGGAGAGGAGGAGAGGTAGAGGAGAGAGGAGGGTAGGAGGAGTAGGAGTAGGAGAGGTGTAGAGAGGATGAGAGGTGTAGAGGAGGAGGAGAGAGGGTTAGGGAGGAGGGGGGGGAGGGAGGGAGGGGGGGAGAGGGGGTAGAGGAGGGAGGAGGGTAGGGGGAGGAGGGAGGGTAAGGAGGGGGAGGAGGGTTGGGGAGGAGATAGGGTTGTGAGGAGAGGGGGGTAGAGGAGGAGAGGGGAGGGGGAGGGTTTTGAGGAGGGGAGGAGGTTTGGGGGAGGGAGGAGGGGGGGGTAGGGGAGGAGAGGAGGGTAGAGGAGGGAGATAGGGTTAGGGAGGAGAGGGGGGGGTAGAGGAGGGAGAGGGTGTAGAGGAGGGGGAGGAGGTAGGGAGGAGGGGGGGGAGGAGGTAGAGGAGGGGGAGGGGGGGGTAGCAGGAGGAGGGTGGTAGAGGAGGAGGGAGGGGAGGGGGAGAGGGGGTTTGGGAGGAGAGGAGGGTAGAGGAGGAGGGGGGTAGGGGGGTTTTTGGGGGGGAGGGAGGGTTTTGAGGAGGAGGGGGGGGTAGAGGAGGAGGAGGAGGGTAGGGGGAGGAGAGGAGGTTTAGGGAGGAGAGGAGGGTGAGGAGGAGGAGGGTAGGTGAGGAGGAGATAGGTTAGGGAGGAGAGGAGGGTTTGAGGGAGGGGAGGGGGGGTAGGGAGGAGAGGGGGGTGAGGGGAGAGGAGGGTAGAGGGGGAGGGGGGGTGGGAGGGGAGGGAGGGTGAGGAGGGGATGAGAGGGTGAGGAGGGGTAGGTTGTGGGAGGGGGGGGTTAGAGGAGGGAGGGGAGGGTAGAGGAGGAGGGGGAGGGTAGAGGAGGAGGGGGTTAGGGAGAGGAGGGGGGGCCCATGCGAGGGGGAGAGGGGAGAGGAGGGGTAGAGGAGGAGAGGGGGTAGAGGAGGAGATTAGGGTTAGGGAGGAGAGGAGGGGTTAGAGGAGGAGGGAGGGTAGAGGAGGAGAGGGGGGTAGAGGAGGGAGGGGGGAAAGGGGGAGGGAGGATGGTAGAGGAGGAGGGGGGGAGGGTTTGAGGAGGAGAGGAGGGTGTAGAGGGGAGGGATTAGGTTAGTGGAGGAGAGGAGGGTTTTTGAGGAGGAAGGGGGTAGAGGAGGGGGAGGAGGGTAGGGGGGGGGAGAGGGGGGTAGAGGAGGAGAGGGGGTAGAGGAGAAAATGGGGGTAGAGGAGGAGATAGGTTAGTGGAGGAGGGGGGGGGGGGTAGAGGAGGAGAGGAGGGTTTTTGGAGGTGGGGGGGGGTGGGAGGAGAGGAGGGTGGGAGGAGGAGGTTAGGGTAGGGAGGAGAGGAGGGTAGGGGGGAGGGGGGGTAGGGAGGAGAGGAGGGTGAGGGGAGAGGAGGGTAGAGGGTAGAGGAGGGTAGAGGGGAGATTAGGTTTGTGGGAGAGGAGGGAGGGGGGGAGGAGGGTAGAGGAGGAGAGGAGGGTTTAGGGGAGGGGGGAGGTAGGGGGAGAGGAGGGTGAGGGGAGATGGTTTGGGGGGAGGGGGGAGAGGAGGAGGAGGGGTTGAGGAGGAGAGGGGGTAGAGGAGGGTTAGGTTTGTGGAGGAGAGGAGGGTTAGTGGAGGAGAGGAGGGTAGGGAGGAGAGGAGGAGAGGAGGGTAGAGGAGGAGAGGAGGGTAGAGGAGGAGAGGAGGGGTAGAGGAGGAGAGGGGTAGAGGAGCAGGTGGAAAAATAAGAGGGAGGATAGAGGAGGAGGAGAAGGAAGAGAGGAGGTGAGGAGGAGGAAGGAGTGGGAAAAAGAGAGGAGGAAGAGGAGAAGAAGAGGAGGAATGATGAGAGGGGGACTAAAGAGGAGGAGAGCTGGTTACTCAGCATCTTTTTAAGAGGTACAGTATAATAATCACATTGGGCTGAAGTGAAAGGGAGGCTGAAAACAGACTGCAAACTGACTCTTTTATAAGACCTTCCATCCCCCCATCCCTCCATTCACAACAATAAGCAACCATACAGCTTAAAGTGGGTGGAATCTGTATGAGGAACCAAAGTCTCACAAATGTAGTAGAGAAGGTGCAAAAGCCGTGCATCCCCAAATGGCACCCTATTCCCTATATAGTGCACTACTTTTGACCAGAGCCTAAATGGAATACAGTGACAGGTTTTTACCAACATGCACCTTTAGAACAAGCTCAAGTCAATAGTGGAAAAGAGACACCCCACTGGGCACAGATGTCAGTTCAACGTCTAGTTTTGATTTAGGTTTGGCTGAGTTGTCAACTAACATGAATTCAATGTGAAATCAACCAAAAATGCCACCTTGTCATTGGATTTAGGATGGTAGAAATAAAGGCGAAAGTCCCTTAAGTTGATTACTTTTTGCAAATCCAATCTGTTTTCCAAGTTGATTTAACGTCATCAAATTAAATTTATGGGTTGAAATTACATGGAAACAACGTTGATTCAACCAGTTTTTGGCCAGTAGGACTTCCTTGGGTTGGCCTGGGATTCCAGGGTTGTTCTTTGATTAATATCCTCCTACTCTAGTATGTGGCAGCCACATTCCGCAGCAGCAGAATGTGTAAGAGGGATAGAGGGAAGGCTTATCCTGGGAATGTGGTGATTTAAGGAGGATGGGAATCATTAACAGCGTGTCAGAGACCCTGGAGGTTATGGGGTTCGAGGGTGGAGAGCCCACTTACGCAATGTCAACACACACACGGTCAGGGACAGTCACTCCTCTCACCTGATGATGTCTTTGTGTCCATTGCGAGCGGCCAGGTGAAGGGGCGTGTTGGAGGAGGTGGAGTCTAGACCATCTAGCACCTCCCCCTCCAACAGAGCTACCACCATGTTACTGCTCAATAACAACTGAGCCACCTGAGAGAGAGAGAGAGAGAGCGAGTGAGAGACAGACAGACAAACAGAGGGAGAGACAGAGAGAGAGACAGAGAGAGAGAGACAGAGACAGGAAGAAGCGAGAGGGCGAGGGAGAGACAGACAGACAGAGGGAGAGACAGACAGAGAGAGAGACAGAGAGACAGACAGAGACAGGAGGAAGCGAGAGGGAGAGTAGGGTGTAGAGCAGGGGTGTCAAACTCATTTTAGCTCAGGGGCCACATGGAGGAAAATCTATTCCCAAGTGGGCCGGACCGGAAAAATCATGGTATATATAACTTAAAAACAACAACTTCAGATTGTTTTCTTTGTTTTAATACGATCAACATACAACATAAAGCTGGAGCCTGAGGACAGTGTGTCCAAAATAGTACAAGCACAACATCACTATTAATCATAAAACACGTCAAGTTTATTTGAAAATTCTAAAGAAAAAGAACACACAAACACACAATGCCTCAGTGATTAACAGAACTGTTTCACAGATCACAGAACTATATCAGGGTGTCATTTCTCAGGCAGAAATGTAGATAAAAATAGTGAAATCCTGTTCCCCAAACAAGTGCAAGAACCACAGAGTCAAGAATAGGTTAAATATACAAATAAAATAAAATCAATTAAAAACAATAGCACATCAACATAAAAACATATAAACATAAAGCTGGAGCCTGAGGACAGTGTCCAAAAGCACAACATCACTATTAATCATAAAACACCTCAAGTTATTTGAAAGTTCTGAGGACAAAGAACACACAAACACACAATGCCTCAGTGATTCACAGAAGTATATCACAGATCACAGAACTATATCAGGGTGTCATTTCTCAGGCAGAAATGTAGATAAAAATAATGAAATCCTGTTCCCCAAACAAGTGCAAGAACCACAGAGTCAAGAATAGGTTAAATATACAAATAAAATAAAATCAATTAAAAACAATAGCACATCAACATAAAAACATATAAACATAAATCTGAAAGCGTTGCTCAAACTCCCGTAACAGTCCCGTTATTTTATCTTTGAACCGCTTCATGTCTGCCACATGTTGGGTCGCGCACACATTTTTCAGACAGGGGAAGTGAGCTGCATCACCACCAGCAAGTTGCCTCTCCCACAATGACAGCTTCAACTTGAAAGAACGTATGCTGTCATAATACTGCATGACAACTTTGTTGCGACCTTGCAGCTGTTTGTTCAAGTTATTCAGGTGCTCTGTAACATCCACCATAAATGCAAGGTCCTGCATCCATTATGCGGAATGAAATTCTAACACTGGTTTGCCCTTTTCTTCCATGAACTGTTCAATTTCTTCTCGTAAATCAAAGAAACGCCTCAGCACAGCACCTCGGCTTAACCATCTTACCTCAGTGTGGTATGGCAGGCCATAGATGTGGTCTTTCTCTCTGAGAAGGCTGTCAAACTGACGGTGATTCAGGCTTCTGGATCGGATGAAATTAACAGTTTGGATGACCACCTTCATGACGTTATCCATCTTTAATGACTTGCAACACAAAGCCTCCTGGTGCAAAATACAGTGAAAAGTCAAAAAATCACGTCCTCCATTTGCAGATTGCACTTTCTCTCTGAACTTTGTCACAACGCCTGCTTTTTTCCCGATCATTGAGGGCGCACCATCTGTAGCCAGGCTGACAGCGTGGGACCAGTCCACTCCGACCCTGTCCAGCGCGCCGACGAGTGCGGTAAAAATATCAGCTGCTGTCGTTGTATCTGTCATCGGCACCAACTCCACGAACTCCTCGGTGACGGTCAATGTGTCATCAACTCCGCGGATGAAAATGGCCAGTTGTGCAACATCTGTAATGTCCGTGCTTTCATCAATTGCAACCGAAAACGCAATAAATGACTTTACTTTTTGCTTCAACTGGCTGTCCAAATCCACTGAAAGATCGGAAATCCTGTCTGCAACTGTGTTTCTTGTCAGGCTGATATTTGCAAAAGCCTTCCGCTTTTCAGGGCACACAATCTCCGCTGCCTTCATCATGCATGTTTTTACAAATTCACCCTCACTAAATGGTTTTGAAGCCACTGCGATTTCATTAGCAATGAGGTAGCTAGCTTTCACTGCAGCGTCACTGATGTCTCGGCTGTGAGTAAACACAGACTGCTGTTTCTTCAGACCCGCCAACAGTTTCATTCACCTTCTCTCATCTCCGCTGTCCTTGAAAGTTGTCATATTTGTCGGCATGAAGACTCACATAGTGGCGACGAAGGTTATATTCTTTCAGCACTGCAACATGCTCTGAACACACCAAACATACAGCTTTCCCATTCAATTCCGTGAATAAATAGGATGACCATTTTTCTTGGAACACTCTGCACTCTGCGTCCACTTTTCTCTTTTTTGACAGAGACATATTGGGGCAATGAGGGTGCCAAAGCACATAATGTTAAAAGTAGAAGCCGTAATAAATATCGCGGGCAAAACAAAGTAGCTCATTGGCTGCACGTGCTTGACCTACTTGCTCTGCCCCGGTATAAACAGTTTGCTTGCTTAACACAATTGCTATTGCGCCATCCAGTGGACGCAATTGGAACAGCAGTTTATTTTATTGAAAAATTGCTGCGCATTTTTATACTTTAGAAAAAAAAAAAAAAAAAAAATCTAAATCATCTCGCGGGCCGGATTAAACCCGTTTGCGGGCCTTATCCGGCCCGCGGGCCGTACGTTTGACACCCCTGGTGTAGAGATATAGAAGAGGTGAAGTGTAAAGGAGCCAAAGAGAGAGATGAAAGGATGGAGAAACAGAGACATAAAAACAGAGACAGAGATAAGCATCACAGTATCAGTGAAAGTCAAAATGGATACCTTTAATTTGTGTATTCCAGTGGTGGGAAAAGTACCCAATCGTCATATTGAGTAAAAGTAAAGATACCTTAATAGAAAATGACTCAAGTAAAAGTGAAAGTCACCTAGTAAAATACTACTTGAGTATTTGGTTTTAAATATATTTAAGTATCAAGAGTCCATGTAATTGCTAATATATACTTAAGTATCAATAGTAAAAGTATAAATAATGTCACATACTTTATATTGAGCAAACCAGACTGCACAAATTCCTTGTTATTTAAATTTACAGATAGCGAGGGACACACTCCAACACTCAGACATCATTCACAAACAAAGAATTTGTGTTTAGTGAGTCCATCAGATCAGAGGCAGTAGGGATAACCAGGGATGTTTTCTTGATAATTGCGTCAATTGGACCATTTTCCTGTCCTGCTAAGCATTCGAAATGTAACGAGTACTTTTGGGTGACAGGGAAAATGTATGGAGGAAAAAGTACATTCTTTTCTTTAGGAATGTAGTGAAGTAAAAGTAAAAGTAGTCAAAACTATAAATAGTAAAGTAAATTACAGATACCCCAAAAAACGATTTAAGTAGTACTTTAAAGTATTTATACTTAAGTACTTTACACCACTTGTGTATTCCATACATGTACATTTTATGGGGCCACCTAAGTGCACATAAAACCTGCCCAGCAACTGTCCATGCGCTGGGTGTCTAAAGATACCCCTAGTACAGTAACAAAGACGCTTACTGAGAGGGGGGGAAGGGGGAGAGAGAGAGTAATAAAGACCTTAACTGACTCAGCGTTACAGCTTAAAGCCTGTTGTTCTGCTATTCACAGGGCCAGAAGATTACACAGACGTGTGTGTGTGTGTGTGTGTGTGTGTGTGTGTGTGTGTCTGTCTGTCTTGCGTGCATGCCTGCGTGTGTGTGTGAATTCAACTTTGGCTAAGTCTAAAAAACAGGGCCAGCTATACATTTCATGACAAGACTTCATGACAACTGTGACAGAGAAACATACTGTACTGCACTGCAAAATCCCTCTCACTTGTGTATGTGTGTACGCCTATGTGCATGCATCAGTGTGTGTGTGTGTGTGTGTGTGTGTGAGTTTGTATGTGTGCCTGCGTGTATGCATCAGTGTGTGTGTGTGTGAGTGAGAGAGAGTGTGTGTGTGTGCATTTGTGTGTGTGTGTGCATGTGTGTGAGAGAGTGTGTGCGTGTGTGCATGCGTATTTGTGTGTGCCTGTCCGGGGAGCAGAACTGAAACCCATTTCCCTTTAGCTGAAACAGGCTTATTTTAGCTGGTAGTTCATCTAAGCAATGTGAGGTGTTTGACACAGGCCTCCCCCTCTATCCATCACACACCCTCTGTGAGACATGGACAAATATACACACACTCACACACACTATCACCACTTAAACTGGCCTTTGATCACTGTAATGTCTATGGGATGTGAGGGTTAAGTGTGGGTTAAACAGGGAGGTATTGTGGCATGTCCACTACCAGTCAAAATTTGGACACTCCTACTCATTCAAGGGTTTTTCTTAATTTTTTACTATTTGTTACATTGTAGAATAATAGTGAAGACATCTAAACTATGAAATAACACATATGGAATCATGTAGTAACCAAAAAAGTGTTAAACAAATCAAAATATATTTTATATTTGAGATTCTTCAAATAGCCACCCTTTGCCTTGATGACATCTTTGCACACTCTTGGCATTTACCTTAATTATTTTGCATATTTCACTAAACAAACTTCACACACTTCAAATCAAATATTATTCCCGATAAACATTCCAATAAAAAATAAGCACACTGTGTGCAGGGTTCATGCAGGATTCATTAATCACAATCCAATTCCATGTATTCAATAGATAGGCTGGTTTGCTCATCGTTTTGTAGACGTTCCATTGGTGCACAGAAACACTATCCACAATAGAAATAAGGAAAGGTGAATACAATGGAGGAACAAAACTGATATTAAAATATAGGCCTCAATCCACACCAAAGCAAAGCTCTGTAATGGAATGTTGAAGATGATGACTTAGGAGTAAACCAAAGTTACTTAGAAGTAACCCAATTTTATTCTCTGCATCTCTGCATGTCCGGACTATTGTAAAAACTCTGAACAATTAGACGGTCCCCATTGCCTAGAGATCTTTCCATATATTGTACATGGTATGAGACTGATGGGGTGATTTAGAATTTCGTGCAGTAGTATTTACTGATTGCCGGAAATAGTGAATACAACTGCACACATTTATCTTCTGATGAAAATAATGTGTTAATATTCTGTGAACATAACACTTAACAGTGAATTTTGAGTTCACTGGTGACATCTGTATTTAATGTTTTGCAAAGGCTGGTCTAATACAAGGGCAAGAAAATGAAAAGTTCTGTAAATGTATTTGAACATTTGATCATTGCTGTTCTGCTATAGATACAGTGCCTTCAGAAAGTATTCAGACCCCTTGACTTTTTCCAAATGTTGTTATGTTACAGCCTTATTCTAAAATGGATTACATAAAAAAGAATCCTCAGCAATCTACACACAATACCCCATAATGACAAAGCGAAAACAGGTTTTTATAAATTTTTGCAAATGTATTAAAAATAAAAAAACAGAAATACATTATTTACATAAGTATTCAGACCCTTTGCTATGATACTCGAAATTGAGCTCAGGTGCATCCTGTTTCCATTGATCACCCTTGAGATGTTTCTACAACTTGATTGGAGTCCACCTGTTGTAAATTCAATTGATTTGACATGATTTGGAAAGGCACACACTTGTCTATATAAGGTCCCACAGTTGACAGTGCATGTCAGAGCAAAAACCAAGCCATGAATGGGCTCATTGTAATATCTGGAATTAAATTAATTGAACGGTATCAAACACATGGAAACCATGTGTTAGATGTGTTTGATACCTTTCCATACTATCCATTCCATCCATTGCAATGAGACTGTTCTCCTACATCTCTACCCACCAGCCTCCTCTGCTACACACACATATGCTTACCATAAAACACACACACTGACTCACCTTGAGTCTGCCAAACTCACAGGCCAGGTCCAGGGGGGTCTTGTTGGCCTTGTTCAACAGACAGGGATTAGACTGGTGCTGGAGTAACATCTCAGACTGATGGAGAGAGAGTGGGAAGGATAAAGAGGAAGGAGAGAGAGAGAGAGAGAGAGAGAGAGAGAGAGAGAGAGAGAGAGAGAGAGAGAGAGAGAGAGAGAGAGAGAGAGAGAGAGAGAGAGAGAGAGAGAGAGAGAGAGAGAGAGAGAGAGAGAGAGAGAGAGAGAGAGAGAGAGAGAGAGAGAGAGAGAGAGAGAGAGAGAGAGAGAGAGAGAGAGAGAGAGAGAGAGAGAGAGAGAGAGAGAGAGAAGAGAGAGAGACGAGAGAGAGAGAGAGCAGAGAGAGCGAGAGAGAGAGAGAGAGAGAGAGAGAGAGAGAGAGAGGGAGAGAGAGACATAACATTCTGACATTTCATCACCACAGCAAGCAGAGAGAGAGGCAGCAGGATCTTCGCTCAGGGCTAAATCAGTAGTGCTAGCAGGGCTTCCATTACTAGGGTCAGTATATTCCCTGGTTTTCCCGATATCCCGGTTGGAGGATTCCCAGAATCAGAAGGGAATATGCAGGAAATCCAGAATCCTCCAACCAGGATTTCAGGAAAACCAGGGAATTTATAGAAAATTCCTGTAATTTTGCAACCCTATCCATTACAGAGAAATACCTCTGGCTTTGTTAATGTTCCTGCTTTGTCCACACACAATACAATACCTCAGTAGTCTCCATGACCAGTTATGCTGTGCATGTGTGTTTGTTTGATGTGTGTGTGGGTGCGTGTGTGTGTTGGTGTGTGTGAACACACCTCTCAGGAAGACTCCCTACTTGGGTGTTAAAGACACCCAATACACATATTCCTTCTTCCTCCCATTAGTCTCAATATGTCACCCAGGGAACCCACTGCTGACCTGATCACGTCATGTAGTTCCTATAGAGCTCTGTAGGGTTGGCTGCCCTCTCCTTTCACTCACCCTGACCCCTAACGTACACAATCTGTGTCACGCTGTCACACCTGGAAACACTATATAGACACTTACTGACACTGAGTGAAGGTGTGTGTGGTGAGGCCTCTTACATTTTACATTTACATTTTAGTCATTTAGCAGACGCTCTAATCCAGAGCGACTTACAGTTAGACCAGTGTGTAATCCGGCCAAATATCGAACCATGTCTCTGAGTTGATAAGGGTCATTTGTGTGTGTGTGCGTGCATGTGTCTGTCTGCGTTTGTGTGTTCATGTGTGTGTACTCACCACCTGGTAGTGTCCATACTGTGCAGACAGGTGTAGAGGTATCTGTCCGTCCTGTGACGGTGTGTTAACTGAGGCTCCAGCTCTTAGTAGCAGCAACACAGAGTCAGCTTTACCCTGCCACGCTGCGTAGTGGAGCGGACGCATACCTAGATAGATAGATAGATATATAGAGAGATAGAGAGAGAGAGAAAGCATTAATAATGTAATGTGCAATTCAGGACTGGCTTTTGTTTTGTTTACCAAAATAAGTGGCGTATAACTTGTCACCATTGGTGTCTTTGATGTCCACAGTGGCTTGAGCCTCCAGTAGTAGAGACAGCAGCTCAGTGGTGCCCGTTAGAGCTGCATGGTGTAACGCTGAAAACCTGAGCGGGAAGAGAGAGAGAGAGGTACAGAGAGAGGTAGAGAGAGAGAATGAATATTGTTCCATCCACTCTGTTGTTACTACTACTACAGTAATTGTCTAGGAATATTCTGGAAGCGTGTACAGCCTCCATACACCATACAGCCTCTATATTGCCAGTACTGTCCAGCAGTGCCTGGTGTAGGGAGAGTCCTTCCACTCCTAGGTAGTTGTGGAGGTTTTCCAGGGTGAAATGAGTCTGCCATAGTCCGGAATGAGAGGTTATAAATCTACCTGATGACTTTATAGGAGGTGAGCCCTCATCAGAACACACTAGCAGACGATGGCAGGACGGTGTGTGTGCATGTGTGTGTGTCAGGGGGCAGTATATCCAACCGAGGGACAAATTAAATGCATACATTTGGGCCCTTCATTCCTGGAGAGCAGGGTGTTCTAGACAACAGTCGACTGTTGAATTACTACCAGCCATGGAACCCAGACACCTCCACTGTTCCAGTCCCAACTGTAAACCAAGGACCAGGGTGCAAACATAACCATCTACACAGGGTACAAACTCTGACCAAGGTTATCCCAAATGGCACCCTATTCCCTATGGGCCCTGGTCAAAAGTAGTGCACTATGCAGGTAATAGGGTCCAATTTAAGATGGACCCCAAGAACCACAACATCCCTAGCAATTTAGTATCAACAAGCTGGGGGGAAAATGTATTTGGGATAATAGTATTTCAACTCAAGTATGGGAGAGTGCTGTGAAATGTACTTGTGTGTATGTGTGTGTGTGTCAGGGGACTGGGTTCTGTGCTGGTTCACTGAATGCCTGGAGTATCAAGGACAGTAATACAGCGCTCACTCAGAGCTATCCTTCTAAAATACATGCCATTTAGAAGACGCTTTTATGCAAAGCGACTTACAGTCATACATTTTACGTACGGGTGGTTGCATTCGGATGCATTCACTAACTGTAAGTCGCTCTGAATAAGAGTGTCTGCTAAATGACTAAAATGTAAAGCAAGTGAAGTAGATAGTAAACAAAAGTGGAAATAAACAATAAATATTAACAGTAAACATTACACTCAGAAGTTCCAAAAGAATAAAGACATTTCAAATGTCATATTATGTCTATATACAGTGTTGTAACAATGTGTAACTAGTTAAAGTACAAATGGGAAAATAAATAAACATAAATATGGGTTGTATTTACAATGGTGTTTGTTCTTCACTGGTTGCCCTTTTCTTGTGGCAACAGGTCACAAATCTTGCTGCTGTGATGGCACACTGTGGTATCTCACCCAGTAGATAAGGGAGTTTATCAAAATTGGGTTTGTTTTCAAATTATTTGTGGATCTGTGTAATCTGAGGGAAATATGTGTCTCTAATATGGTCATACATTTGGCAGGAGGTTAGAAAGTGCAGCTCAGTTTCCACCTCATTTTGTGGGAAGTGTGCACATAGCCTGTCTTCTCTTGAGAGCCAGGTCTGCCTACGGCAGCCTTTCTCAATAGCAAGGCTATGCTCACTGAGTCTGTACATAGTCAAAGCTTTCCTTAAGTTTGGGTCAGTCACAGTGGTCAGGTATTCTGCCACTGTGTACTCTCTGTTTAGGGCCAAATAGCATTCTAGTTTGCTCTGTTTTTTTGTAAATACTTTCCAATGTGTCATGTAATTCTCTTTTTGTTTTCTCATGATTTGGTTGTGTCTAATTGTGTTGTTGTCCTGGGGCTCTGTTTGTGTTTGTGAACAGAGCCCCAGGACCAGCTTGCTTAGGGGACTCTTCTCCAAGTTCATCTCTCTGTAGGTGATGGCTTTGTTATGGAAGGTTTGGGAATCGCTTCCTTTTAAGTGGTTACAGAATTTAACGGCTCTTTTCTGGATTTTGATAATTAGCGGGTATCGGCCTAATTCTGCTCTGCATGCATTATTTTGTGTTTTTTGTTGTACACAGAGGATATATTTGCAGAATTCTGCATGCAGAGTCTCAATTTGGTGTTTGTCCCATTTTGTGAATTCTTGGTTGGTGAGCGGACCCCAGACCTCACAACCATAAAGGGCAATGTGTTCTATAACTGATTCAAGTATTTTTAGCCAGATCCTAATTGGTATGTCGAATTTTATGTTCCTTTTGATGGCATAGAAGGCCCTTCTTGCCTTGTCTCTCAGATCGTTCACAGCTTTGTGGAAGTTACCTGTGGCGCTGATGTTTCGGCCGAGGTATGTATAGTTTTTTGTGTGCTCTAGGGCAACGGTGTCTAGATGGAATTTGTATTTGTGGTCCTGGCAACTGGACCTTTTTTGGAACACCATTATTTTTGTCTTACTGAGATTTACTGTCAGGGCCCAGGTCTGACAGAATCTGTGCAGAAGATCTAGGTGCTGCTGTAGGCCCTCCTTGGTTGGTGACAGAAGCACCAGATCATCAGCAAACAGTAGGCATTTGACTTCAGATTCTAGTAGGGTGAGGCCGGGTGCTGCAGACTGTTCTAGTGTCCTCGCCAATTCGTTGATATATATGTTGAAGAGGGTGGGGCTTAAACTGCATCCCTGTCTCACCCCACGGCCCTGTGGAAAGAAATGTGTGTGTTTTTTGCCAATTTTAACCGCACACTTGTTGTTTGTGTACATGGATTTTATAATGTCGTATGTTTTCCCCCAACCCCACTTTCCATCAATTTGTATAGCAGACCCTTATGCCAAATTGAGTTTTTTGAAATCAACAAAGCATGAGAAGACTTTGCCTTTGTTTTGTTTTGTTTGTCAATTAGGGTGTGCAGGGTGAATACTTGGTCTGTCGTACGGTAATCTGGTAAGAAGCCAATTTGACATTTGCTCAGTACATTGTTTTCACTGAGGAAATGAACTGCTGTTAATGATAATGCAGAGGATTTTCCCAAGGTTGCTGTTGACGCATATCCCATGGTAGTTATTAGGGTCAAATTTGTCTCCACTTTTGTGTATGAAAAAAATAAAATGTATGCACTCACTAACTGTAAGTCGCTCTGGATAAGAGCGTCTGCTAAATGACTAAAATGTAAAAATGTGGATTGGGGTGATCAGTCCTTGGTTCCAAATATTGGGGAAGATGCCAGAGCTAAAGATGATGTTAAAGAGTTTAAGTATAGCCAATTGGAATTTGTGGTCTGTATATTTTATCATTTCATTGAGGAAACCATCAACATCACAGGCCTTTTTGGGTTGGAGGGTTTGTATTTTGTCCTGTAGTTCATTCAATGTAATTGGAGAATCCAGTGTGTTCTGGTAGTCTTTAATAGTTGATTCTAAGATTTGCATTTGATCATGTATATTTTTTTGCTGTTTGTTCTTTGTTATAGGGCCAAAAAGATTGGAGATGTGGTTTACCCATACACCTCCGTTTTGGATAGATAGCTCTTTGTGTTGTTGTTTGTTTTCCAATTTTCCCAGAAGTGGTTAGAGTCTATGGATTCTTCAATTACATTGAGCTGATTTCTGACATGCTGTTCCTTCTTTTTCCGTAGTGTATTTCTGTATTGTTTTAGTGATTCACCAAAGTGAAGGCGTAGGCTCAGGTTTTCTGGGTCTCTATGTTTTTGGTTGGATAGGTTTCTCAATTTCTTTCTTAGGTTTTTGCATTCTTCATCAAACCATTTGTAATTGTTGTTACTTTTCTTCGGTTTTCTGTTAGAAATTTTTAAACGGGGGGTCCCGCAGGTCTGGGAGAGTGTCTCGCTGGTCTGGGCGGGGTGTCTGTTGATCTGTTGCTCCTGTGTGAGGTGTTGGGTCTGCGGTTGAGGGCGATATATTTTAGGGTCCGGGCGAAGGTGGGCACTGCTGCCTTGTATAGGTGGACCTGGTCATAAAGGCTGTTCAAGTCCAGGGTGGAGTGATGGGACAGGTAGACATTTGGTTTTGAGGCACAGTCACAGGAAATACTTGCGTTTACCTGCTGTATGGTAGCAGGGTGGAAGTATTTTCGTGGTAGCAGGGTTGAGATAACCACTTGTGCGTTGGGGAATGTAGAAGAAGCTTTTTCTATCACTCCATTGAGTGCTGTGGCCACCCTTTCCTGCTGTGTTCTCAGGTCGTTTGTGCCTGTGTGTATTATTATGTGGCTGGGTGATCCTAGTTGGTCCTCAGACAGAAGGTCTAGGGCACGCTGGGTGTTTGGACACCAGAGTTTAGACACTGTGTGTTTGGGAAAAAGTTTATTTTCTTGTATGTATTTCCCGTTTGAGTCCATTAGGAGTACAATCTGTGGCTTGTGTATGTCCTCAGTGGGTGTGGGGGGGTCGTCAGGAGGGCTATCAAGGTGGCTGACAGTGGGGGTGCTCAGAGGGGTTGGGATCCCCTGGGCTTGGGGTTCTTAATTTGTTTGTCCGGCAGTGATGTCGAGGCTATGGTCAGGGTCTAGGGTGTTGTCACGCCCTGGCTCTGGGGACTCTTATATGTTGAGCCAGGGTGTGTAGGGTCTATGTTTTGTGTTCTATGTTCTGTTTCTAGTTCATGTGTTTTCTAGGTTGGCCGGGGTGGTTCTCAATCAGAGGCAACGAGAATCAGCTGTTGCTTGTTGTCTCTGATTGGGAACCATACTTAGGCAGCCTGTTGTGCTCTTGTGTTTTGTGGGATCTTGTTCCGTGTTGGTTTGTGTTGTTAACCGAGGACTTCACGTTTCGTTTGTTGTTTTGTATTTTGTATCGTGTTGCTAGTACACTATTAAAAAGATTTACGCATATCACGCTGTGCCTTGGTCCGCTCATTTCGACGATCGTGACAGAAGATCCCACCAATACAGGACCAAGCAGCGTGTCCAGGAGCAAACGCCGGAGGTAACGTTAGTGGATGTCCTCCTCGGTTGGGGGCAGATCACGGAGGAGGAGGCCATCCGTTACCGGAGGGCGATGAAGGGGGAGACCCAGGCAGGAGAGGAGAAGCGGCGCCAACCGGGCCGTCGTCGGACAGGCGAGAGGCACCCCCAATAAAAATTTTTGGGGGGGCACATGGCATGGACGACGGGGCTGCTGGAGGCAG